TATAAATATGTGTATGTATTACCTTCGCTTGTTCCTTACGGTTCAAGGAGAATTACCCCCTTGCACAATCACCCCCCTTTGTTTAATTCCTTGTTTTTCTTGCTATCAATTCGATCAATCATTTTTTTGTTGTTTATCCTTATTTCTTACCATATGTAGATCTTTGTTAAGCCGTTATTATTTATTATTATTATTATCATTATTAATCATTCTTCTGGTTTATTCCTTCGTAAATGTGTTTTAATACTTTATGTTTTTCTTAGATTTCTTTCTATCATTTTATATTTTGTCCTCAATCCTCGTGTATTTCTTTGTTATTTGCTTATGTATTACTCCAATTTTGATTACGGGAGCCAGGTATGTGTACATGTATTTAGCTTGCATGCAAACTGAATGTCATGAAATGGAGATCGAGATCGAGGGTTTTCCAATTCCGGGAATCCCTGAGCGCGCGCACTACATATCAAATTTCAACTACTTTGTGGACCACGAGGTACATTGGGCTGATCGAGATCGCGTTGCTTTTGTTTTTGATAATACTGGTTTATGAAAATGCCGTTTGCGGTCTGTGGCAAAATTTGTAATGTGTAGGGACAGGGTCAACCGATTGGTATTATGAATGAATAAAATAATAATATTTTTTTTATTATTTGGAGTTACGGATCCTTTATTTATTCTGTTAATTTTCAATTCTCTATCTCTCTTAATTATCTTTGTCTGATATATTTCACTCTTCACTCCCTTCCCTCTTTCTTTTCTGTCCCTGTCACGCTAACGGTAACGGTACCCCTCCGCCTCTTCTCTCCTCTTCCCTTAATTATTCACGCCTTCCTGAAAATCTCACAACATACACATAATTCTTCTAGAAATAACAGCCGCATTTATCCATAAATTCTAAGATTCTACCCACATATTAGATCTGATATGTACATGTAATGATGAATACTCTCGATTAGACAGAAATAACCGTCTGATATGGGTCATTACTCTTTGATAAATCTTACATTTGTCAACATTCCTCATACACAGACGGTGACCCTTACGGCTCGCACGACGGGGGGGGGGGGGGGGGGGGGGGTGAGCCTTTCTTTTCTTCCCGTTTTTCCTTATTTAGATCTAATTTTCCGATCAATAAATCGGACATAAGAAAGTATGTATATTTCTTAAAATTCTTACAATTTTAATCAAGTAATTGCAATGGCGAAATTTAGGCGAATTAGATCACGCGTTTATGAATATCAAAATATCACCGGGTCAAGCCGTGCTGACTCGTACGCACATGTAGGTATCGGACGTCCGGGAAAAAAAAGAGCATTCATCAACTCAAATCAAGATGGCTGCACAACAAATAATGTTAACGACAAGTCTTTCTCGGATTAAACATAAGCGGAATAGCCGTCGATATTAGAGACTGAAGCTTTCGGTCTAACTCTTGATATACTCTCGGATCTCCTCTGCCATGATATGAGCTATCCCAAACATTCCTCCCCCCTCAAATAAAAAAAAGATGTCGTATCGTGGGAAAGGCCAATTAGACACCTGGTTCTTGGTTTCTGCACTTCTCTCATCGGATAACTTTTCTCTCCGCATGCGCAATCCCAAACATTCCCCGTAGCACATTGTCTCGTGTATTTATGCATGGAATGAAAAGAGCATTCATTCACGCTTTTGTGATGTAATAATCAAGTGATTGTGACGTCAGTGGCAAGCGCGCATCGGTATGTTTGAGGATGCGCAGGCTCAGCAAGCGTATAAATACAGCATGCTGTGCGCAGTTCTATCGTGATAATAACAAACTAAAAGGAAATATCACGATATGCATCGGGGATTTAGCGAGTTGATCAAGTTGAGGAAAAAAATCATGATAGAGATGAACACAAATCACGATGTTTCTCACGATAAAAACACGATAAAACCCGTCTACAATCACGCTAACCTCCTATCGTGAAACACGATCCCGCATGCCCAATAACTTCTGGGCAGTATTGTAATAATATTTGCTTCATGATTTCAACAAAAAATGATAATAAATAGGAAGTAAAGGGTCCTAAAAAAAGGATTTTGTCTTAAGTGGCCGAAAACGGGCTCCTTTACTCTATCCAATTTTACATTAGTGCGCCATCTACACGTTCGTAATGGCGTTATCACAGTTTTTCCTTCATAATCATTTTTGCCTTCGGCGTAGACTAGAAGGGATGAGATTGACGGCAGCGAGAGTTTAACACGGCTTGCAAGATTTTCAACATGGATGTCGATTTTGACCCATAATTTCCTTAAAAGGGACCATTAAACGGATTATTTCAATCAAGTTAGTAAGTGGAACCGATGTATTATAGCCTAGGCCTAATGTAAAATTGGATATGCACGAGGTAAAATGACATTTTGTGGCATTTTGGGGGCATAACAATACGGCCGTGGCAAGTTTGTTCATGTTTGTGGGAGGGGCCTAACGGCTAAAATCTAGCCGTGATATCTTCAACATAGGCTGGCATAGGCGATCGTTCAGTCTCTATAACCGGAGGTCTAGTGGAGCCAGACGTAGTCTCAGTGGAACAACCGACGGTATAGAGACTGAAGCTTTCGGTCTAGTTCACCGTCTGCTTTTATGGGTTCTTGTCTGGATTTATCAGTCATAACGTGAAAGTCTCGGTAGTCTACAAAGTCAATGTGAAATGCATCAAGAAAATCACTGCAAAATCTGTTTCTTGCATCTAAACGTGCGGATCTGATATAAGGAAGTTTAGGCCCGACTCATCACGGGTTTTGCCGCACCCGGGTTTGACCAGGTCCCCGAACAGAAACTTTTACCACTTGCATCAGCGCGAATTAAGATGAAGTTGCTGTTCTAAAATGTGACGGAAAAGACAGTAGAGTGGGCCGCCATCTTGGATTATAATGCATATCTACATTATAATCCAAGATGGCGGCTCGCATGTTTTGCCTCTGCTCTTAGACCAATATTATTAATTTCAAAGTCATGAAAAGGCACTAAATATCAACAAACATGGTCTACAACAACTCTAAATGACAAAATAATCCCAGCCATGAATTTTTTTAAAGCATTTGATAGCCAAAAACTTGAAAATTTTCATAATTAAAAAAAAAACAAAAGCCTACATTATAATCCATGATGGCGGCCTGCATGTTTTGCCTCTGCTCTTAGACCAATATTACTAATTTCAAAGTCATGAAAAGGCACCAAATATCAACAAACATGGTCTACAACAACTCCAAATGACAAAATAATTCCAGCCATTAATTTTGTTTGAGCATTTGATAGCCCAAAACTTGAAAATTTTCGTCATTTAAAAAAAAAATTATAAAAAAATTAGCCGATTTTTTTTTGTCGATCTTCCGATCCAATACCGATCATAGGTGCGAGGGTGTCGCTCCGATCTTCCGATCCGATCAGAGCCCCAACTTACAAGGTTAATCTTATCATGGTAATAAAAAATAATATATTGAATTTTAAAGCACTAATGCCTGGATAACATTTGGCCTGCGATTAGTCTATGGAGCTCGTATCCTGCTCGTATTCCCCTTTCCGTGCGGCCTCTGTGCGGTGGCAGGAGGCGGCCGTGAGATTTTTGTACGGATTCACGGGCTCCGCAGCCTTAACGATTTTGTTTCGCGAGAAGTTAAACAAATTTGAGAAAATCGTAAACCCGTAGCCCGTAAGGCTGTGCACAACAGTGTAATGAGGTACCCGAGTACACTCCCATGCTTACAAGCGAATACTCGAGTATTCGGACGCCATGTTTTTTTTTGAATTTTTTTTTTTTTTTTTTGAATTTTTTTTGAATTTTTTTTTTTTTGGATTTTTTTTTTTTTTTTGCCACCACCATACATACCACTGGAGCAGTATCCCAGTTCTGTCGCCGAAAACGCATGCAATTTTATTTTGAGTTGCAGTTGAAGGCGCCGATTTAATAATAATAATAACAGTGAACAATGCTGTTTTAAAAACCAAAGATGGCAGAATAATCCATTTTCCTCCAAGTCCAAGCAGAAATCCAGACATTTGGTCCCAGTTTCTGAGTGGTGAGTTTGACAGTGCTTGAGTTGGGAAACATTTTTACCGACGGCACCATGCCAGCGGCCGCCGCTCACCCAGACATTTAAAAAAAAAAAAAAAAAAAAAAAAAAAAAAAAAAAAATCCAAATTTTTTTTTTTTTTTTTTTTTTTTTTTGCGGCCGAATATTCGGGTACGAGAAATCGTACCCGAGTAGTTGTCAACCGTGCGGGTACTCGAGCATTCGACTACCCTGCACAGCCTTAGTAGCCCGTATACATGTCGTAGGTGGCATTGCACAATCCCCGCACGGGCATCGCCCGAAGGCCTCGCACTGACTGTGCAGCAAACGTACGATTTTTCGGTGAAAATGGGGGCAAAGAAAATCGTACGGAGATTGTAGACTCATGGGGTATTCGCACGACAATTGCACAGCTATCGCAAGGTTGCTGTACGGTCACCGCGCCTTCTCCGCGCAACCTTTGCACGGAAGCTGCACGGCTACTGCATGCAAATTGCACGATTTTCGTACAATCTCCGAGCAGCCTCTGTACGGATTTGCCCCGGCCTGCCCCCGAGGGCCAATACAATAAATGGCACGATGCTTGTAGATAATGTAAACACAAACATCGTAGCCCGTAGCCTCCTACGATGTCTACGAAAAATCATAGACTAATTTATCGTATGGCGCCCGGGGCAAATGTAATCCAGGCATATTGTATAAGTCGTAACAAGTTAACAACAGTCATTTCTGCGATGCACCCCGAAGGCCGTGAATAGCCTCCCAGAGCTTGCAGTGGAGGCTTTGAAATTCGAGCGGGCAAACTAAATAGATGCCCAAAAATCTTGTTAAGAAAAAAAAAGAGAGCCTTTTTCATTCAGTATTCCAAGATTCAGAAGTTTGTCTTGTTCTGTGTGTTCATTTAATTCTTAATAATAATAATAATGTATTCATGATTTTATCTTGGTTATTTTTGTTGTTTACAGGTTCTTTCTGGTGATTCTGTAATCATCCGAGAACAGCCACGGAATGGACCTCCACCAGAGAAACAGATCTGCTTGTCTAATATCACTGCCCCCAAGCTAGCGCGCAGAGCATTGCCCAGCGCCGAGAACTCAGTACCCACCAAAGATGAGGCAAGTAATGGTACTGGGAAAAACTACCTACATGTAGGGCTCTGACATTTATTTCATAACATTTATATAACGTGTGTGAACTATGGTACATTTTTCACCCTGTCGTCTGTAATATTTAACTTCATTTTTTTCTTTTTCATTTTGACTCCCGCTTTAGTTCGATGAATTCATTGTTTGTATGCCTCCGCCCTCCTAAAGTGGAGCCGGAAGAATACAAAATTACAGATAATGAAGCCCACTTGCAGAATATTTTCTTATCCCTTTAAAACACAATCCGTCCTCCAAACAACCATGTATTGCAACATTTCATTTTTTACTTGGCTTAACAATCAGGTGTACTGCACAATCTGTGATTAAATAATACCGGTAATTACGATTTGGGCATCATTGTAAAGGGGAATAAACAGGCTTTTCAATGAAACCAACATCAAGAATGATAATATATTACAAAGCCTTTCGAGTGTTAAAGTATACAAAATAACTCCCTTCTAGCTTCAAACAGATGGTATAGATTTGTACATGAAGGCTCCTGAAAATCTAACCGTCTTTTGACGCATGTTTAATGAACTTTTTGAAATTTTTATTCTGTGCATAAAGCTACAATAATGATTTCCAAATGCTTTGTTTTGAAAGATGTTTTTCTCTACTTTTTTTTTGTAGCCGTACGCATGGCAGGCCAGGGAAATGTTGCGCAACAAACTTGTTGGGAAAACTGTGTGTTACACAATAGAGTACACTGTACCTGGATCAGGAAGGGCGTATGGATGTATCTATATTGGAAGAGGCAAGTATACAAAAATTTCATGTTTAAAGGTATAGACCAGTTCTGGTCATGCGATTGCATTGTGAAAGAAACGTTGTGGAATCGATCAGAAAAGGTTGATCATCTAGCATATGAGTATTGGTGTCTACTGCAAGGTTCTGGAATCATCAAAATGATTAAAAAATTTGGCCCAGTCTTAGTAAAGTTACAAGCACTTTACACAGAAAGATGTATATGGGACTACGCGATATCTATCCAGTCCGAATAGATATAACAATTTACCAAATGAATCAAATAGTAGGCAGTTTGCCGGCAAAATCATGTATTAGTCAAAACATATTCTTTCACATGATTGGTAATAAGAGCTTCCATTTCATTTTTGAGATGGGGGCATTTCCAAAACTGGAATAGTTGAAATCCTGACACGGCACTAATATCCTTTGGCAAGATAATTAACTTACACTTGCCACTCTCCACCCAGGTGTAAAATGGGTAACCGGTAGGATGCGACCGTCATTGTTGGTCAAAGTGTTTAAGCGTCAAGTAACGCCCGACTGGAATGCTCCCCAGGGAGTGGAGACTGTGCACACAATGTGTGTGGGCAAGTATTGAATCCAATGATCGGGTTAATAGTACAGGTGTATATCTGTAAAGCATTTAGAGACATTTTCATTAAGCGCTATTTAAAAGTGGAATATTATCGGTATTTTTATTATTATTATTATTATTGAGTATGTCTTGTTTTGATTTGCTAGATACAACTGGAGAGAACGTAACAGAGGCACTTGTCTTAGAAGGATTGGTGGAGGTACGGAGAGGAGGAATCAAACCAAGCGAGTAAGTACATTTCTGAAATCATCCGGGCCGGGCAATTCTATGAATTATGAGACTTGGCAAACAAGATTAAAAACAGTATTTCTTCCATCATTTATTATAATAATGATAATAATAATAATATCAGATATTTATATAGCGCATACTTTGTATATCCATCATGCAAGGTGCTGAAGGCGCTCTGAATATTACCCGGCTCTGCTAGGCAGCTGATTTCGGCGCTCACAGCATTCAAGGAATTCCTTCCTACCGGTAACACCTGGGTGGAGAGTGGCAAATGTTGATTAATGTCTTGCCAAAGGACATTATGGCCAAGATGATTGAAATTGGGATCATATGTCTGGATGGAATAGGAATCATTTTCCATCATTAATTTTATCATTGCATGCCCCTTGCATGGAGAATGTGAAACCGTACATGAATTGACACATGTGGGATTACACCAAAACAAAAATATGAATGAAATATTAGATTTAGCATACATTGAAATTGAAGATTGGATGGAAATGCACCAAGTCAATGAATTAAATTATACATTTTATTTCTAAACATTTCAAAATTGCCCGTTGCAAAAAAATAAATTCACACCTTATCGCTGAGTGTAGTAAATGCATTGTACGACCTTAAGGCTCTGAATGTTAATATTTGTTTTCTCTTTATGTGTGAAGTGATCAGTCTAGGTTGTGCGACCTGGAAGATGCGGCAAAGGCTGCTGGGAAGGGTAAGTGGGCGAAAGAACAGGCTGCTGATGCTGTGCGTGAGATCAGTTGGACCGTGGAAAACCCTCGTCATTTAGTTGACTCACTGCATCAGAAACCAGTCGATGGTGAGTTTACGGATGATGACATCCACATTTCCCATTCTTTCTTATATTGAGTTTGAAAAAAAGTCAGTATAAATGATGCATTCTTTTATAAAAATTGATTGGAATCAATCTTAATTCCAGTGTATCTTGATTCCAAATGAAGTACATGGTTTAATTGTCTCTTATATGACACCAAACTCATGGTGATCCGACATTTCATTAAAATATAACTATTTAAATAACAATGCTTTGTCAGAAAGGCAACCATTATTGAAACATTTAACTAACAACTGTGGCAAGGGCTCCTTCCTAGGCTAAATTTTTTTATTATGTACATAATGGAAACTTCTCACAAAAACCCCTGCTTTTGTCATGATAATTAATAGTTTTTACCCTTACCCACCAAGCTATTAAGGGCTTAACCAGAAATAACTATTAAGTTAATAGTATAATTAGTATTTGTGGAAAAGATGTAAGATCTGGCAAACAAAACTTTTCTGCCTGAAATAGGTGAGCGACACAGATACAGTGCAATACCAAAACTGTTTGTTCTTGCTTGAATTTTGACAAAAGTTTTGGCACGGTTACTCTCTAGAATATAAGGAATAAGATGTGACCTGCTGGGGGTGTTTCACGAAGATCCTAAGTTGGACTTAACAATTATGGAAAAGCATTAGCATCTATGAAAATACTTTGTAAAAGTTATTTTTAAAGGCATACAATGTTGATTCAAATCATTTATATATTCATCAAGGAGATTTCATGTTCTTGATTTGGAATTTATAAAAAATCTAAAATCATTGAATTTTCGCTTTTGAATACATGTATATTTTATTTTAAGGCTACACATGGCTCTCCATAATTTAAGTCCAACTTAGAGTTAAGTTCGACTTAAAATCTTTGTGAAACAACCCCCAGGTATGATAGGAATACAATTTAAGTTAAGTGTCCAGACAAAGAGTTGCCCTGTCATACATGTTGAGCAAATACTGACTGATTGAAATTGTTTATATTTTTAAAACAGCTGTTGTGGAGCATGTCCGTGATGGATGTACACTACGTGCCTTCTTACTACCCAGCTTCCAGTATGTCACAGTCATGCTCTCTGGAATCAAGGTAACCTCTCTCTTCTGCCTACTCCTAACGCATGCTAGGGGACTATTGACTGCTCTGAGGGGCACGCTTAAAACTATTGCCCAAGGTGATCTTGAAACTATACTGTGACCTGATATCACCGAGGAGCACTAGTTCTAAGCGTGACCTGAAAAATAAGCAGATATCATTTGTTTTGTATACTGCATCCACAGTGTCGATCCCCAAATAGATATATTATAACATATCGTGATACTCAAAGCACAGGACTATTGACTGCTCTGAGGGGCACGGTTAAAACTATTGCCCAAGATGATCTTGAAACTATACTGTGACCATATATCACCGAGGAGCACTAGTTTTTAGCGTGACCTGAAAAATAATAAGATATCATTTGTTTTGTATACTGCATCTACAGTGTCGATCCCCAAATAGAGATCTAACATATCGTGATAATCAAAGCACAGAAATTTCTGTAACATAAAATATATGGAATGTAATAAAAAAAAACTGGTATATTTTCCTTGAGAAAATAATTAAAGAGAAGTCTAAAAGATTTGACAGATTTGTGTCTGATAATGAAGCAGTATGATTTTCTCTGTGATGAGTTGCGCCCTGGGGACATTCTTGCATACCGTACTGGTGTACGGCAGCATACTGTCCCTCAGATATACCAGGTCATGTGATCACATCATATGACCATACCATGTGATTGATACATCAAGTGCACAGGGGCCATCTGAGAGCTGTTCAATGAATTATGATTATCTGCCTGTTCAGAGCTAGAGCCTAAAGGGCATTAACTCTGTGTGAACGAATGAGTAAATACCCTTCTGGCTCCGAACTGACAGCATCGTGTAAATCCTACTCTGAAATTGCATCGCTTGGTAATTCTGTAAAGTTTTTTATTGTATTTTGTATGAACTACAGTGTCCTATGTTTAAAAGAGAGGGTGAGACTGAGGTTCCAGAACCGTTTGCAGATCAGGCTAAATTCTTCACTGAAACCAGACTACTCCAAAGAGAAGTCAAGATCATTCTGGAAGGGGTATCCAATCAGAACTTCCTCGGAACCATCTTGCACCCTCTTAACGTAAGTATCATCCATACCATTAGAGTCATTATAATTGTCATTTTTAGGCCTAAACAAAAAGATGTTGTATTGCCCTTTGGGATCGACCAAAAATTTTAAGATCTACGAAAGAACTTCAGTAGGCTTTTTAATAATTTTTCTTTTTTTCAAATCGTATTTTATTTGTTTAAATGGATATAAATGCATAATATTATCATATTATTCCCAAATTCTCACTCGTCTTCTGCCCTAGTTACGGAATCCTGCTAGCGTAAAAAAAAAAAATCGACCCCCGCCTTGTGTACATGTATATACCATGCGATGCACTAGCTAGACACCAGCGAGATTTGGGCGACGTTCCCGGTTTTGAGTATTTTTGGCAACGGTCGCTGTTTTGAGGGGGGAAAAAAAGTTGGAGAAAAAGACCGACCCAGGTTCTGGCACCTAAAGGGCAATACAACATCTTTTTTTAGGCCTTATTGTCGTCAACAATCATGCTATACATTGGACAAAACGTTCATTGTACAGGTTTCTTTTACTACCAAAAAATATGAATAATTGTTGTTTTACTAAAATTGCTGTATCTTTGCAATTGTGACCAAGGCTATGTCTTTTTACCGATAATATTAATAATAATATCGCTATAATTAGATGTCTTGCGAGTAAGCTCTTTGTGAAACTGTTTAGGAAGATCACAGACATCTCCGTAGTTGGCAAGCAAAGTTATGACCGATTTGTCGTTGGTATAGAGAAACAAGCCCCCTCGTGAATCATAAGTTATCAAGCATTGCATTGTTATAAAAACTGTTTAGGAAGATCACAGACATCTGCGTAGTTGGCAAACAAAGTTATGACCGTTTTATCGTTGGTTTAGAGAAACAAGCCCCCTGGTGTATCATAAGTTATAAGTATTGCATTGTTATAAAGAAAGATATGATCTTCATATTTAATAATCAGATATACTGAAATTTGAGGTGTGGTGTATAACGGTTGGCACAAATTAGCATGGACTTGGCCAGAAATCCTGCATTGCATCAGGATTATTTTCTTTCTGCTTTATTTTCTGTTGTTAGAACACAAACATTGGGGAGTGTATGCTTCGAGATGGTTTTGCACGCTGTGTAGACTGGAGCATGGGAGTAGTCACATCAGGAGCGGACAAACTCAGGGCGGCAGAAAAGTGAGTTTACCTACACCGCTCTTATTCAGCTTTCCTAGTGCAGAGAGTTATGATAATAGTAATGATAATACATCTGTAGCAGAGATGCCAGCCGTTACGGTTTTAATGCTCTTGTTACGGCGTTACGGTAAACAATCAAAAGGTTACGGGGAAACAATAAATAAAAGTACATTATAGTGGATGCCGCCTTATCACATAGCCTCCGTACACAGCGCTGCATGTCGCACGCATTTACTCATAAGTTCACTGAATTTGACTACACTGGATAGGCACTTTCGCATGCATGGTCCGTTCGACGCCATCTTGTTTAATTCCGAAACAACACGGCTGCCGTCATAACTGTTTAGTAGTATACTAGTATAGTACGTGTGGTCGTGCGTTTTGTGGGGAGCATGGTGGTGGATGATCGTGCGCACTACGCCCGCAATACCCGTTCAAATTATAGTAGTGAAGACTTTGGTGATTCAGCGGGCGCATTGCAAGTGCGGTATACGGTGTTGTTGTTCATGAACGCCGGGCCTAGCGGCCTGGGCTGTTGTGTCTGTGGTACTGGTGAGTGTACGTGTGCGTGTGTAGGATACGAGTTCTGCCATTTGACTGTGGATTCGAATTTGCCGTTCGACGCTTGAACGAGGTGTTTTCTTCCTGAATATTAACATGGATTCTCTCAAAAGAGTGAGTACCCGAGGAGGAGATCCTTTGACCGCAAACAGATTTTAAAAAAGTTTTTATGCACATCTAAGATCTTTATTTTGGACTTAAAAATGGTAGGTTCGAAATGCAGTAAGAGTGATTGAGTGTTTGTGTACGTTTTGCACGAAAATTATGCTGCAGTGTCTTGCGTTCCGGAAAGACCCCCATTTGTTACGGACAAATGTGGTAAATGTTACTGACAGCTATCCTTTAGGGTTGGCATCTCTGCTGTAGTAATGATAATAATAGTGGGTTCTTGTATCGCACTCGTGTCTGTCTAACTTGACTCTCCTGGCACCCCACAATTATTACCCTAGCTTTAGCATGGCTGCCATTATGACGCTCTAGCATTTCAAGGAATTAATTCCTACCAGGACTTGGGTATTCATCTCACCTGGGTCGAGTGTGGCAGATGTAAATAAATTTATGTCTTGCCAAAGAACATTGGTACCACGGCGGATGGGATTCACAGTCGGGTGACTTATACACTAGACCAAGATACCTCCCACTGTGGTGAACATGTGATTGTAATCTCAATATAACAATAATAATTCTGCTTTTATATAGCGCTTAAAGCCCCACTGCACTACTTAAAGCTACTTGCGCCCTCTATATAGTAAACAATACCTAATCGGTGCCTGTTGGTCCCCCATGATCCCCTTTTTCTTTTCTGGCAAAACTAGTGCAGACAGACTTTAATACACCTACGATGTCTCTAAGCGCTTGACAGATATACTATTACCCCTGTCATTGGATTCAATACTTGCCCACAATCTCCACTCCCTGGGGAGCATTCCAGCTAAGTCTAATTCAATAATGCCCAGGTCATGTGTTTATGCAATCCATGTATATCTTCTATCACCTTGTCTCTCTTTGTGTGCTTATAGGGTAGCCAAGGAGAAACGGTTACGCCTCTGGAAGGACTACACCCCATCTACTACAACCGTTGACATCGGAGAAAAGAATTTTGGTGGCAAGGTTTGTGATTAATAGAATTCAACTTTGAAGAACATCTATCGCTACTTTAAAGAGCTCGTTTAACAATGTTAAATCTGAGATGCACGGCCCTACGTGTTATCAGTGTCTGTGATATGGTGTTTTATTGAAGCCCTAAAAAAATTGCGCTTCAAAATGGTCTAGAAGAGGCTCAAAAAAGTTTAAAACTTTGAGTGACCGGTTTTACCATACTCATTTTCCCCAATGGACTGTAGTGTTATGAATAGTGTATGACAGTGAAGTCTAGAAGGTAAACAAGTTTCCTTGCATAATTTGAATCCTAAGACACTGCTAATATTTAAATTTCATAGACAGGACATACATGACATATTCATAAATCCTGCAAAGTCTACAGAATTTGATGTTGGCTGCAAAAGGGACACAAAAGTATCTTTAACCCTATTTTAACTGGCTATTTGAATAGTCAATAGTCTCTCTCATAGAATGTTTTTTAACACAGAGCTCAGTGAATACACCCATGTCCTTGTTGCATGCAGTGGCCAGTCATTAAACATATCTGTACAAGCCTGTATAAGATCATTTTGTTCAGTCAATAGTCTCAGTCAATAGTCTCGGTCAGTAGTCTCTCTCATGGAATTTTTTTTTCTTTGCATGAATACAGGTGGTGGAAGTAGTCAATGCTGACGCCTTGGTTGTCAAACTTGATAATGGTACCTTCAAGAAAATCACCTTGTCTAGTATACGACCCCCAAGACTCCCTGCTCCAACAGAAGATGCTCCTAAGGTAATCAAAGCATCCTATAGATTATCTATAGAGCAATAAGACCAAGGGGGGTGTTTCACAAAGATCCGAAGTCAAACTTAACTCTAAGTTGAACTTAACAATTATGGAAAGATTGTGTAAAAGTTATTTTAAAAAGCATAACATTTTGATTCAAATCATTCATATTTTCTATTATGAAGGAGAGTTCATGTTCTTGATGTGGAATTTATATAACGTCTTAAATACTTGAATTTTCGCTTTTGAATATATTTTATTTTAAGGTTACAAATGGCTCTCCATAATTTTTAAGTCCAACTTAGAGTGAAGTTCGACTTATGATCTTTGTGAAACACCCCCCAAGCTCTGTAATTATTAGGATCTTTGTCCAGTAGTGCCATCAACCTGGATCGACCAAATCAATTGATTCATAATATGTATATTTGTTCCCTCGTAACATGAGAGTAATATTAATCGCTTTATTATTTCAATTAAATGTAATGTTAATTGTTATTGTATAATTGTGTTAACCCTATTTAGCCCGGGGGGGGGGGGGGGGGGGGGGTGGGGGGGGCTTGAGAAGCCCCCCCCCCCCCTCGACATTTTTCGCGATAATTTTTTAACGCAAGAAAATCTTGCACTGAAATTTTGTGACTTTTTTCTTTCGAGTCTTGCACAACTTTTGAAAGAAATTTTTCGAAAATCTGACCTACCATTACAAAGGCACGTGTCCTTTTGTCTTCGCATGTCAGCCCGAAAATCGCTCATTTTTGTGATTTGTGTACAAAACATATGGAAATCTCATTTTTCAAATAAAGAGGTAAAACATTGGTTATTTGGTCTTGTTTAGATTTTGGGTGTTTATTTTGGGGTCAAAATAGTTGAATTATAGTTGGGAATGAAATAAAACAACAAAAACAATAAAATACATAAGTTAAAAAAACAAAGAAATACATAAGAAATTATCAAAACAATAGATAACATAAGGAATAACCCTGGTTTTTCAAATTTTTGTGTTGTATTATTATTCCAAATGGTCTAACAAATATATGTAGTGAGAAAGAATGCTTAAATATGAATAATGTCTGATTTATGGGCAAAAATGTGAATTTAATGACCTTATTTGCATAAATTACCATAAATATGCAAATGAGTGAATTTTTCAAAAAAATTGAAATTACCATAGTATTCTATACACTTCACTTGACATGTATGCAAATTTTCGCGGCGATCGGGCGTTTCACGGCCGAGATCATAGGGGGGGGGGGGCCTTAGAAGCCCCCCCCCCCCCCCCCCCCCCCCCCCCCCGGGCTATGCAGTTTCAAATTTAGCCCGGGCTAAATAGGGTTAAGTGGGGGCACGCTACAAGAGTCCTATATCGCACCCCGGGGCAACGTGTCTGACACGGCCGGTTGTAGCAACTACTCTGAAGATCAAGATACATTAATCTTGATCTAAGGAGACACAAATAGATTATCTTAGTTTTTATTTTTATTTTTATTTTTTTGGTTCACATTTCATGATTAAACATGTATTAATTGACAAATTAATCAGGACTACAAAATTACATATCACCTGACATGTTTGACAACTATTATCATAAATGAAATTCTTCCTGGGAGAAATTTCAATAGTTTAAACATATCAATAGATCTTATTTACTGGGTGTAAGCATCAAATATGTTTAAACTAGGCCTGAGTCATCACGGGTTTTGCCGAACCCGGGTTTGACTTGAAAATTTCGGGCGGGGACCGGGTACCCGAAATTTTCACCACTGCACTGACACTAAAAAATTGTGTGCATGCAGCGGCGGGAGTAAGACTAAGTTGCTGTTTTAATAATGCGACGGAAAGGACAGTTACTGCTTTCAAAACAATGAAATAATCAAGTTAATTAAATTAAGATGCTTTAAAAAATAAATGGATATCGTTTCAGTTGACGGTAGGTGTTTTTATTATGAATATCTATAGTATTATTTGTCAAAGCAAATAACTATTTTACGGTAATTTTGTTGAATTGGAGTCCCTTAAAGTCTTACGTGATGTTTTTTTAATATGTTCAATGCTTATTGTTCCGATCAGGTCGGATGACGGTGCAGGGATGTGAACATACATATCAAGCTTGACTCGTAACTTCTGATTGCCGTTATACACGCATTTTTAGAACGAACGAAAGGCACTTCGATGTTATTTCAAGAGCTTTAATTTATTTTCCTTCATCAAACTATCAAGGGTAAACCATTATATTGTGGAAATATTTTGACAATTAAATTAATGCCTTTAGTATTACGATTTAATTGCAATAGTCTGATCAACATTTTAGTCTTCTGTGTGGCACTTTCTTGCTCTGTCTTCAGTGAGTCTAAGATCTATTTCCACTTGATCGGTACCACGAAGCGTGATTCCTTTATTGCAGCCTCAATTTTAGAGCGATAAAAACACCTACCGTCAACTGAAACAATATCCATTTATTTCTAAAGCATATTTATTTGATTATATTGAAATATAAGTTTGTGAATTGCATATTTTTAGTTCTATATTTCACAATATCAGTGTGAAATTTAATTTTGAAAAACCTGAAACCCAAAAACCAAAAACCGGGTTTCAGCTCGACGGTCGGGGCCCGGGCGGGGACCCGTTTCGACTCAGGCCTAGTTTAAACTATTATCATGTTAAAGGAAACCCAGACATAAAAGTACAAAACTCTGCAGGAGCCTATAAAAAGCATAGCTTGTAAAGAATAGGTTCCTGAGAGACATGAACAAATAACCAGGAAAAAATATGTTTCCTACATAATCAATGTAAGAGGGCATTACTTTGAAAAATATTTGTATACAAGTTCAGTAGAATTTGAGACAAATTTGATATCAAATTGTGTTCATAAAGATTCTTGTTAGTCTGAGTTGCATACCATAAATATCAGTTACACAGAATTACAGGCTTTGACTTGAAACAGGGCTCTCAAACTCCATCTTTCATTTGCATCATTCATACATGTATAAACCTGTAGGTATCTTTCAATAACATTTGCAACAGTGATGACAACAGATCATTCCATTCATTTTTATAATGATATCAAATTGTGATTATAAAGTATCTCGTTAGTCTGAGTTGCATACCATAAATATTTGCTTGAAACCTTCATTAATCTCCCAAGTTCAATAGAACTTGAGACTTGAGACTTGAGACTGAAAGAAAAAAATAAATAAATAAACTGAAAGGAAGGGGAGTAATGAGCCAATAAATGGAGTATCTGAAGTGGTCATATTATCCTCAAAGTTTGTTATCCTTTATTTCAATGAATGGCTCTTTAATGTTGATAGCAAATTGAAATTGCTTAGAATTAACACTTAAATGTATTCCTGGTGCTTGGGCAAATGGTGATCTGGGCCCCGTCTTACCAATCGCAAGTCCTCCAATCTCTCGCAAGTTTGCTGTTTCCCATCTCTTATGTACATACTGGTAGTTGCAAATGATATCAATCACAGATAATTTGCTATTGATATCAACTCTTTGTAAGACTGGGCCCTGTGCACAAATTATGCAGCTTTGCATATATACATCCATTTATTAATTCTATGTCCAGATACAATGTAAGGTAATGTATTATTTTTATTTTTTAATGTAAAGCACATAGAGAATTGTATTATGTGCTATATAAAACACTTTCCATTATTTTTAATTATCATCCCATACATGTTGTCTTATGATACAGGACCGTCGGATCAGACCTCTGTATGACATCCCATACATGTTTGAAGCGAGGGAATACTTGAGAAAGAAGTTGATTGGTAAGAGGATCAATGTGTCTGTGGACTACATCAAAGCAGCTTCGGATGGTTATCCAGAGAAAACGTGTGCAACGGTCACCATTGGACAAGTGTAAGTAGACCTATCACCAGCAAATATGATGCTCTGAATTTTTAGCCTTCAACATAAAATATTATAGAGATATCGACTGCTTTGAGAGGCCTGGTTGTTCTATTGGCTCAAGGGAACGTGCGCACATCCTGCCATGACCCTGAGTTCCAGAGAGCCTATAAAAAAGCCAGATCTCAAACATTACAGCAGTCAAAATGTCTTTTATATGCCAAATTAAAACAAAAATCTACTAAGAATTCTTACCTTATCCTTTATTGAGTAAAGATTGGTTAAAACATCACGGAAATGTGAGACAGTCTGTTAATCTTCACTGAAAAAATGACTGAAAGTTTCAATCATTTGGGAATCACAGACAAATAGCACTGTATGGTGTCTGCGCTCGCACAAAGACAATTTTAACACGTAAACCAATGGGGATCTGAGCACAATTTATTTATGTGGCCTGTTACCCGGGGCAACAAGCATCTTTAAAAAGACTATTGACCGGTAGGCGGGTATGAGGGCACTTTTCAAAAGATTATTGACTGGTAGGGGGGAATATTAAAATCACGACTGCAATTCAACCAATCAGATGGCTAGATTTCTAAAGAGAGGTATATAAAATGATATACAATCCTCTTTTTTTCAACAAATTTTTTTCTAAACCAAAACAACACTTCATTTTCCTATACTATGTGTGTGACATTTGGGAAAAGAAAGTGCACATACTGGAAATTAAAGTTTACCAAAATAGAGCTCAAAACAAACTAAATCAGTTACAGGCTTTGACTTGAAACGGGGCTCTCAAACTCCACCTTTCACTTTCATCATTCATATATGCATAATCCTGTAGGTATCTTTCAAGAACATTTGCAACAGAGATGACAACAGATCATTCCATTCATTTTTATAATGATATCAAATTGTGATTATAAAGTATCTCGTTAGTCTGAGTTGCATACCGTAAATATTTGCTTGAAACCTTCATTAATCTTCCTTGTCCCTGGGGCCTGGGAATTTTAAAATGGGATACCCTACTGAATTCTGTGCAGGTACTCTACTTATAAATTAGTTTATGAACAGCACATGCTAGTAGGATGCTTTGTCTGTTTATCTTTTAAAAACAAATTATGTTATATTATATTATTTTGCAAAGGAAAATGTCTGTATGTAATGTTGCTGTAATTTTCAAAGGAAGTGTTCCTCTCTTCTTTTTAACAATGATTAACAATTTTTTAGATTTTTTAAACACAAGTCTTCTTGGTCTTCTTACTAATATGTTTTATGCTACACCTATATTTATTTTATTTATTTAAACATATTTGTGGCTTACACCCAGTAAATAAGATCGATTGATCGATCTGTATTGAAAAACAAGTCAGAAAAAAAAATCTTGGAACCAGCGGGACTTGAACCTGCATCTATTGCTTGCCAGGCAGCGACTCTACCACCAGGCCATCACTGGTCCATGGCACAGTCACGATGAACTAGAACAAATACCTTTGTAAGCCACAAATATGTTTAAATAATTGAAATTTCTCCCAGGAAGCATTACATTGATAAAAATATTTTGTTTGTTTGTCATACAGTAATGTTGCTGAGGCTTTGGTGAGTAAGGGACTGTGTACGGTGCTGCGTTACAGACAAGACGATGATCAACGATCGGCCCACTACGATGAACTACTGGCAGCAGAGACACGAGCTATCAAGAATGTGAAAGGCTTACATAGTAAGAAAGAACAACCACTTCACAGAGTAGCTGATCTATCAGGGGTAGGTCTTTTCTTTTAAAGCCCCACTGCACTACTTATAGCTACTTGCGCCCTCTATATAGCAAACAATGCTTAATCTGTGACCATTGGTCCACATGATCCTCATTTTCTTATGTTAAGAGCTGCTTTGATGAGATAACTACCTGTCCAGTGACCTTGCAGGGTGGTCTAATCTCTCCTATAAACTAGTACAGATGGGCTTTAATCTCTCTCTCTTTATCTCTTTCATAGTGTAAAGATCTATGACTGTCTCTCTCCATTTGTTAGTTCATTTTTAGCATTGTTAGTTTATATGTTCTGTTGTCTTCTGTTTGTGTGTGTGTATGTGTGTGTGTGTGTCTGTCTGTCTCTCTCTCTCTCTCTCTTTTTGTACATTGTAGGGTTCATGTCTGTCTCCCTCATCTCATAGTCTTCATCTCTCTCTCTTTTTGTATACTGTTATCTTTCTGTTAATTTCATGATACTGTAAAACAAAAACAAAAAATAGAGAGTTGCAATCAGCAAATAAATACAGGGAACGGGTGAGTGATTTAGCTAGATGGTAAGCACTAAAACAGCTCTGGTAATTTGGAGAAGAGCTCTGTTAACAAAACAAAACATAATCACTTTATAAATATCATTGAGAGTACAACATCGAATCCTAAAAGAGCTCCCACGAACATGAAAGTTTTTTTGTTTTTATACTGGTTGAAATGACAGGATTAAAATTGTACATGTATACCTTAAAGCTGAACTGCACTACTTGTAGCCGTACTGTTGATCCCCCATGGTCCTCTTAAAAATGTTAATTGAGAGCCAATTTGATGAGATAACCACCTGCCAGTGACCACGCAGGGAGGTCTAATCCCTCCTGGCCAAACTAGTGCAGATAGGCTTTAAGCCCCAAAAAGCGAAAAAAAGATAGATAATCTTCTAGCACAAATTATTTCTAAACTTAACTAAATTGATTCCGTCTCGATTTGTATTGTTTACATCAATACGTTTGTAAATTTTGTATTTATGTTGTTGGGTCTCCAAAGAAAACAGTATTTAACTACTGAAGGAGCCACCCTACTATAAGCAGACTAATAAATAAATAAATAAATAAACTTAATCATGTGCGCAGGACGCATCTCTTGACATTTTTTTGTTGAATAACTGATGAAATGATATGTTTCTTTGACAGGACTCTGCCAAAGCAAAGCAATTTTTACCTTTCCTTCAACGAGCCGGTCGAACGGAAGCAGTGGTAGAGTTTGTAGCAAGTGGATCCCGACTCAGACTCTTCCTACCCAAAGACACCTGTCTTATTACATTCCTTCTTGCAGGTTAGTAGAACTAATCTCATTCTTCCCAAAGACATAGCAGAACTAATCTCTTTCTTCTCAGCTGACTTACTAAGCAGTTTAATAGCCAGTTTCGCAAAACCAATCCTAACAACTCGCCAAGAATTTTTGTACTATTAAATTAATAATTCAGGATTTTTTTTGCTTTTTTTTGTGTGGTATTTTAAGTGCATGTCAAACAACTTGAAATTACATTGTAACATGTGAATATTATTTTTGTGTGTGTGTGATTATATACATTTATTCAATCCAAATTCAATCTTGTCAAAAAGTCCAGACTAAAAATGTGAGTTAAAAAAAAAGGGAATGTACAACATACATCCCATGTCAAATTGTTTATGACTATGTTATATTTTGATGTTATCACTCATAGGCCTTCTAAGGCCAGCCGTCTGATGACGTGTGTGTTTTCTAATAAAGAAATCACTAAAAACTAAAACTAGTAGAACTAATCTCTTTCTTCTCAAGGACTTAGTAGATGCTTTCTTGTAAAATCTTTTTGTAAATCTTTTAGAATTTGATAAAGCAGTGTGTCAATATTGGATGGTTATACAGGCATTAGCTGTCCACGCATGGCAAGGACCGGCCCGGGATGCTTTCTTCTCAAGGACTTAGTAGAAATAGATGCTTTCTTGTAAAATCTTTTTGTAAATCTTTAAGAATTTGATAAAGCAGTGTGTCAATATTGGATCGTTCCAACCGGAGTGTTGGCTCAGTCAGTAGAGCGTCCACCTCACAACCAGGAGGTCGTGGGTTCGAACCCCGGCCACGTCATGCCAAAAGACGTTAAAAGATAAGAGTTGCTGCTACCTTGTTTGGCGTTCAACAATAAGGGATAGAGCAACGTCGATCTGGCGCTGCTCAGTGGCTGCCGGGCTCATGATCAATTGGGCCAAAAGAATTTCCATTTTCGGTTTAAATAAAATTTGGAGTGGACTTTGAAAGGTTATTATTATTATTATTATTATTCTACAGGCATTAGCTGTCCACGCATGGCAAGGACCGGCCCGGGAGGTCCAACTCAGGGAGAGCCATACGGAGATGAAGCCTTGCAATACACCAAGGAGATGTGTCTACAAAGAGAGGTAAGATAGAACCAGTCAATGGACATCCAGGGGCGGATCTAGCTTTTTGCCAAGGGGGGTGGGGGGGGGGGGGGTTGACCCAGTGGCGGATCCAGGATTTTCAAAAAATTGTGTTGTTTTACTGTTTTACTTTTCTTTTCTTTTTTCCCCCCTTTTTTTTCCACTTGGACGCCCAAGGGTGTCATTGCCAATGGCATAACTACGGGGGCCTTGGTAAATGTGTGTGCGTGCGTGTATTGGGTTTTTACAGACATCTATCAACCAGATATGATTATTTACGTCTGGGGACCAACCTTTAAACATCACCATCCGAAAGACACGACTCAGTTTATAACCTGCGTCCTCCTCGGAATCAGTTTGTAACTTCCATTGTTAGCTAGATAGATTACAGGCACACACAACGCCTGGGAACATCACCCTCTTAATATAAAGACAACAGGGGGGGGGGGGAGAAAGAGAGAGAAAGAAAAGGAGAGTCCAACATGATAAGAAATGATATGGCTCTACCTGTCACTGCTTTCCCTGTTCACGCCAACGTCCTTGGTGAGTCTTAAGAGATAGATGGGGTAGAAAAATACATTATTTATCTAAAAAAAAGCTGTTAGAATTACATGGAAGGGCATGGAGGGAATATACCAATCTACCATGTTTACCTCTTCATTTTAGAGATATGTTTTTAGTGGCTGTAGTCCATTGCACGATCCAAACATGCAGGATTTTTGCAAGTCCAAGGTATTTTGTCCCATACATGCATATGTTGATGATAACACTAATCACAACAACAATAAAAATAAAAATAATAATAATAATTTTGATAATAATGCTATTAATTATAATACTTTTCAATAGTTATAGTGATACTACAACTATTTTTTTAAAATAAGGATAACTGTTGATTTAGGTTTAAAGGTAATACAAAAATTTGGTATGGGGTCATGAAATTGGTTCAAATGAACATATTGGAAGCATATGCGATCCTATAATATTCAGTGATCGTTGTCCCGTTTGAAATAGAGTCTAAAGTTATGAAATTGTAAGAATAAACTGTCCATGTTGTATAACTCCCTTTCAAGGTCAATTTATCAATTTAGCTTTAAAACAATGTTTCTTGACTAAAATCTACCGATGGGCTTTTCCCGTCTGGAAATTATATATCACAACTACATATTCTGAGATTTTCATGGTATGGAAGTAGGCGCTGTTTGAAATTCATCAAAATTTACAGGGAGCACCAGTAAATTTTTATATTCAATTTATCTCGAAAGCAGAAGTGTTTTACGGGCTAAATTTTCTAGTGCTTATAATACATCCTTAGAGGCACCCAAATATATCAAAATTGTAAAGAATCCCTATCCAGCCAATTTTCAAAATTTCCCAAAACTTTGTATTACCTTTAATATTGAGAACAATGCAATGTATTTTATGTTTCAGATTGAGGTAGAAGTTGAAAGCATGGACAAGGGTGGTAACTTCATTGGATGGTTGTTTGTGGATGGCGTCAATCTCTCGGTGTCTCTGGTTGAACAAGGTCTCTCCAAGATGCACTTCACCGCTGAGAGGAGTAACTATGCCAGGCACATCAGCGAAGCAGAGAGTGCAGCAAAGTCTAACAAGTTAAAGGTACACTCTTCACTTTTTATCATAGATACACGAAAAAAATACAGAAAATATGAGTATAAACCAATTGATGAGATTTGTTTTTTCTTTTGATGTAAAGTAATTGAATTATTAGGCCATATTTGATAGAGACTAAGAGAAAAAGCTAGTAATAAGGCGTTGCAGTGCCAGGACAATCAATACATGAATGACCCGGTTCAATGACCTGATTTTAAAGCCCCACTGCACTACTTATAGCTACTTACGCCCTCTGTATAGCAAACAATGCAGAATCGGTGACCATTGGTCGTCCATAATCCACTTTTTCTTATGTTAATTGAGAGCTGAGTTGATAAGATAACCACCTGTCGGTGACCATGGTGGGAGGTCTAATTCCTCCTGGCCAAACTATTACAGAGGGGCTTTAATCTTAATCATAGAGAATGGTGAAAATGAGTCAAATGGAATCTAGTCTTATTATAGTGTGTATATGGACAAAAAGTATGCAACAGTGATGACAACAGATCTTTCCATTCATTTTTAGAATGATATCACATTGTGATTATAAACTATCTCGTTAGTCTGAGCTGCAAACCATCCCATAACCTTTCACGTGGTATTCAGTTTGCTCCCTTTACAAGAAACATGATTAAACACAAGTTGAGGCAAACCCAACCATCTATGAGGCCTAAATAAAAAAGATGTTGTATTACCCTTTAGGTGCCAAAATATGGGTTGGCCGGTCGGAAATCTTTTCATTTTTTTTTCAATTTTTTTTTTAAAACTCCCCCTTTGGGCTGATATTTCTCAATTTTGAATGCTATAATACAATTTTTTTTCGAACAGTAAAAAAAAAAAAAAATGTAAAAAGCTGATCGAAAATTTCAAGATTTTTGGGTTGGTCGCAAAGGGCAATACACATTTTTTTGTTTTAGGCCCGAGTGCGAATATGAAAGGGGTATTAAAACGGTGAGTGTGTTTGAAATTTTGGTTGTAATTATGAAAAATGAGAGTAAGTGGCCATCGATTCAAACTAGGAAATGAGTCATCTTGTCTTCTCTACTACTCTCTGGATCAAGAGTTAAGAAGGGTTGCATCTTGAAGGTTGAGTTCTGGGGAGTGGTGAAAAATAATTTGTGAGCGTTATCATTGTTTTGATGCAAGTGTGGAAGAACATCAGAGAAAAAATGTTCCCTGAAAAGCATGGCTCTTCAAATGCCTTCATGTTCTAAATATGACATATAACCAGCTTAAAAATGAGGCCCGATTTTTATGCCACATGTTTGTGTAGTCCCATATACATCTTCCTGTGTACAGTGCTTGTTACTTTACCAAGACTGTGCCAAATCTCTTGTCATTGTGTTGACTCCAGAACCTTGCAATACACACATACTTATATGCTACATGATCAGCTTTTTCTGATCGATTCCACAACACAATCGCATGACCAGGGCCCTATTTCACAAAACCTTTTTTTCGATGACAAATAACAAAAATCAGTGACAAATCTGCAGATGTCACAAGCAAGGATTTCACTAGCTTATAACAAAAACTGTCATTTGATACTGATGACAAGTTTTGTGAAATGGGGCCCTGCACTCAACTTTATCTTTAATTCAGCCAAAAAAATACACGGGGCGGAGGGCGGATTCGCCCCGGAAACACCATAAACAGCCCCCGAAATAGGCTCAAAATCCGATTCGGGGGCGACATCAAAAAGTGAAATGATCTCAAATCACCCCCGTAACGATTACGAGCGGTCGCACGCTCTCTTCTAGCTGTAACGATTACGAGCGGTCGCATTCATTGTATTCATTGCGTGCATTTCTTGGTCCGCGCGCTGAATCTCTGTGTAAAATTGTATACACAAAAATTGGTCGTAAAAAAACTTGAACCATATTCCATACCTTACCTGGCTTACCATGTCGCACGCAAGTACGCCAAAACACGTACATTTTCGCAGTTGCGAGATCGAGACGGAGCGTAGGGGTCGAATTTTTGGCGGTCGATTTTGTTTTGGTAGAAGCTGAACCTAGACCATGAACCACTAAATGTCGCGAAACTGCAATCAATTTCCATCACAAATTCACGACTGCCGCAATTTTATAAAGTTTCCATAAATAGAGGTATGAAATTAAAGACTATTTTGTGATATTCTCGCCATGTTTACGTAATTTTGATAATCATTTCTTCAAAGTAAAAAAAATCAGACAAAATCACTGTGACTGACACGCATACAATACAGTGCATTGCCGCTGTGCAGTGTGTGTGAGTTGAGCTGAGCTGCAGTTAACTCCAGGAAGCTCCAACACCGGCAGCGCAGGCGTCCGACGCCTGCGACGCCGGTGTTGGAGCTTCCTGAGTTGAGCTGAGCTCGAGTCAAAGAGATTTGACACTTTGAAATTGTTATCTGTTGGTTTGCATCATTATTGCCGCGATTTCAATATAGTTTCGTGAATAGATTTACGAAACCTGAGCTTAGAATTAGTAAAAGTATTGTCTACGTTTTTAAACGACTGTCTGATTTTCTTGTGAAAATTTTACTTTGAAAAATGATTATCGAAATTCATGGCCAGAAATAATCACAATCTAGGGTCTATTATGTTACAGATCTTGCATCAAATCAATGCATGAAAACTTAGTTATTGAACTAGAAAAAGGGGTTTCTTTTTTAATAGGCAATTATGAAGCCGGAAGCCAGAAACCTTAGCCTACTAAACAAATCTCAACAAACTGTAGGCCTATCCTTTTATGAATTAATGAAAAAGTAGCCCCAGAAAAAAGAGCCCCCCGAAATGGAAAAAAGATCCCCCGAAAGTTGAAAAGTTGAAAACTTCCCCAAAATTTGAAATGGAGCCCCCGAAATGAAAAATTTAATTTTTTGCCTGCTTTAATTGTCAAACATGAAGCCAGTGTAATAATTTTAAATTGAAACTTTCATCTGGGGAGTGAACTTTTTTGTGATAGAGTAAAGGGAATCATAGTTTTTTGATTACTTTGCTTGAAATAGTAATTTTTGATAGTGTATTCAACTGTTTAAGGGATTAACACAGTCCCATATGGTAAAAGTAGTAAACATTTTTGTTAGCTGCAGGATATTGAAGAGGATGTGAAATAAAGCGGTACAAACCTCCTAGCAAAGACGCGGGGCGCCCCAAACTTTGAATTGTCAACATCCCGATGATTGCCAATTATGAAAGAAGGGTCAATTTGGGTTTCATTACTGATGAAGACTGTAGCTGAACAGCTGAACAAATTTGGCTGTGAAGATTTTGTTTTGAGATCGAAAGTTCAACTTTTAAACATATGATTCATCAATGCAGATGAACTAACACAATGATGATAATAATACACAACATTTATTAGTTGTTTAATACGGTTGTTTCTAAGCACACCGTTGTCTGACTAAAAAGTACCAACCAAAACTTATAATAAACACACAAATTATAAATCTGTTCGTATTCAATAAATCATGCATATATAATATTAAAAAAAATAAATGAGATCAAACATAAGGTCATACATAAGATCAAACAAACAAACGAGGAATAAGATGGTGTGCACCTCCTTTGACTGGCTCACAACTGCAGAATATCATTCATGAATTAATTTTTTTGTTTTCTTCAGGTATGGGAAGGCTTTGTTGAACAGGTTGAGACTATCCAGGTGGAGGAGACTGAAAGGAAGACCAAATACGTGAAGATCTTAGTGACTGAAGTAGGCCAGGAACTGGACTTCTTTGCACAGTATGTAGAGTCGGGTAAGAAACCAGTATTATGGAAGTCAATGAATAATGCTTCTTTGCACAGTATGTAGAGTCTGGTAAGAAACCAGTATTAGGGAAGTCAATGAATCACAGTATGTAGAGTCTGGTAAGAAACCAGTATTAGGGAAGTCAATGAATAATGCTGAGGTAATACCTCAGTCACTCCACAAGAACAACTCCAGACCAACTCAAGACCAACCTTAAAGGTATAGACCAGTTTTGGAAACGCCCCCCTCTCCAAAAACGAAATGGAAGCTCTTATTACCAATCGTGTGAAAGAATATGTTTTGACCAATCTGTGATGATACATGATCTGTTATGCTTGTTGAGGATGGGTTTAATTGCGTGCATCACGAATATAAGAACCAGCGAATATGTTTTGGGGTCGATCAGCGCGAAAATTAAATCACGCTAGAATAACAGGGTTTACAGTAGTGTGTAAAGGGTCAAAAAGTATGCAACAGTGATGACAACAGATCATTCCATTCATTTTTAGAATGATATCACATTGTGATTATAAACTATCTCGTTAGTCTGAGTTGCAAGTCGTCCCATAACCGTTTACATGGTATTCAGTTGGCTACTTGGTGGTGTTCTTTCAATGATTTTTTAAAGTGATGGCAATATTTAAAGCCCATATTGCAATAAGTTGGGTTTTGGATTGCATTCTTTTTCTGTTGAACTCCTCTTGCGCTAGACGTTAATCTACATTTGCCACTCTCCACCCAGGTGTTAAATGGGTACCTGTTACGATGCAAAAGTTAATGTGGTTGGAAGAGCTAGTGGCGCTTGTAAAATGGCGACTGGCTGGGATGCTCCCAAGGGAGTGGAGAATGTGCATGCATTGTGTACAGTTAAGCTTGAATCTGATGACCGAGGTAATAATATGTACTGCGCCCAGAAACAAAGTACTGTATTAGGCGCATTATGAATATGAACTATTATTATTTTTATTTTTATTATATAATTTGTTTGTTTAGGTCCTAAGTTTGAGCAGTTGATGACTCAGTTACGTGCGGAGTTAGAAGCATCTCCACCTCTCCCAGGATCTTATACTCCTCAAGCCGGTAAACTGTGTGCTGCTAAGTTTGATATGGACGGTCAGTGGTATCGAGCCAAGGTAGAGAGAGTCACATCCAGGGAGAAGGTCACTGTACTCTTCATCGACTTTGGAAATGTGAGTAGAATTGGTACATATATATATATATATATATATATGCGTGAAGAAAATGGTCTAGGAACGTGAGACGTAGCTGTACTTTACAATTTTATTACGAGCTTTCAGCTTGTGAGGCCTTCTTCAGGTTCTGAAGTGCAAACACATACAAAAACCAGTACATTGTATGAACAAATATTCTGGAACACCCGCTGTCATGTCAGAGTTGAAAATTCTCGCACTTTTATACATATATATATATATATATATATATATATAAGAAGTTGAGTTCAGTTTCGAAATATGCTACATCCACTTTTTATTGACTCTTTTTTTAAGCATGAATGTAGTAATTTTGAGTAGACATCCCCAAAAGTTGAATTTCATAAGAATTTCATGTGTGAGTAAGGTATGATTTTGGTACCTTACTCACACACTCTGTGGTGGGGAGCTACGGGGCTGGAGTTGCTAACAAATCCAACGCACCTTCGGAGATTCACAGCGTGCAATCATCGGTGTTGTTAACTTTTCAGTAAGATAATTCTGAATTATAATTGAGACTATCTAATTAATTAAAGCGACAAACTAACCTCGGTAGATTTCTAATAACAATACAAAAGCTTGTTTATTTTCTCCATTTGACAGTACGATAGGGGTAAGACCAGATAACATTTAAAAAAGATCATTCCTTCCACCATGCTTCCACCCTGCGATGGGTTGGCCATTCAGGTTTCTGTATGGATGCGAAGCGCCCTCTAGTGTCCCATGAATGTGCTAATTTGCCTAAAAATTGATGAAGATTTGCTAAATTACGATCATTTTTTAGGTAAACTTCCTGTTTATTTATAAAATGATTGATATTTTTGGTATTAGATTGTAGGAAAAATAGAGTTCTACGGGAAAATTACAATTATTTTCTTTGGTCCGTTTTTTTTTTTTTTTTTTCTCTCCACGAAATGTCAAAGTTGGGGATGCGGCCTATGCGGCGGTGCGGCCTTTACGCCGGCAAATACGGTACACAATGTTGTGCCATGTGAGCCCTCCCTGGCCAATCACTTTACAGGAATCTTTAATTTTTGATGTAGGATATAATATTGTCAAATATTGAATTGTAAACATTTAATCTTACTCTGCTAAATTGAGGAACATTCAATCAAGAAAGAAGTTGGCAGTTTGATAATAATAATAATATTGCTGCTTATATAGCGCTTATTACATATGCAATGTCCGAGTTTCTAAGCGCTTTACAAATATGTTATTACCCCGGTCATCGGATTCTGGTTTGCCCGCTCACAATGTAGGCACTTTGTTCAATCCCTGGGGAGCATTCCAACAAGAGCTACTAGGCTCAAATCGCACACAGTGTCATTTTCGAGTGGTTTAGGGCACTTGACTTGAGATGCGAAGGTCGAGGGTTTGAATCCAGACACGGCACTAATATCATTTGGCAAGATATTAACCTGCACTTGCTACTCTCCACCGAGGTGTTAAAATGGGTACCCGGTAGGATGCAACCGTCATTGTTGGTCAAACAGTTTTTTTTGCGTCAAGTAACGCCTAGCTGGAATGCTCCCCAGGGAGTGGAGATTGTGCACACAGTGTGTGTGGGCAAGCACTGAATCCCAATGACGGGGGTAATAGTATATCTGTAAAGCGATTAGAGACGTACGAGATGTATTAAAGGGATCCAGTAACTTTGTCTTAGATCCTTTAAAACAATCCTTGATTTAGCTCATGCTGCAATGATAATTATTAACCTTTATGCCAATCAGGAACCCCATGACTTTTACAAGCCGATCGTCTGTCTGATTATCAAGATATTTATGATCGAAATTACAAATTTTGAAAAACGTTTGCCAAACGGTTTTTATAACACTACAGTCTATTGGGATAAACGAGTATGCTAAAACCGGTCACTCAAAGGTTTTTACTTTTTTGAGGCACTTTTTGATCATTTTGAAGCGCAATTTGTTTAGGGTTTCAATATAACACCGACACTGATAACACGTATATTATTATTATTATTTCTCCAGTTTGAACTATAATCCATCCCGATGTTTGTTTTGTACAGCGTGAACTGGTACCATCAACAAGCCTGGCCACTCTTCCCCCTAGCTATCACACTCAGACTCCTCAGGCACAGAAGTATCATCTAGCATGCGTACAATTACCTAAAGACGTAAGTATTTCATATTAGTATTATTATTCTTATTATTATCAATTTCATTTCATTTTTTGTTTTGTACATTTGATAAAAATCACAATTACAAACATACACAATACAAAGGAAAATCCAACAATTGACATAGCAGAACAGAAGTATCAAAATGTAGGGGGGGGGGGGGGACAAACAAATGTTTTACTTTTTTGAGGCACTCCATGATCGTTTTGAAGGGCAATTTTTTAGGGCTTCAATATTACACCATATCACAGACAGTGATAACGGGACGGGCCATGCATCTCAGATTTAACATTGTTATACGATGCCTTTACAGAGACTTTAGAAATAACGCACAGAGGGTCAATTTTCTCTTACCAGATTGAGAATCTAGTAAATGGACAGTCACACCCTGGAATACTTTGTTCCCCTGAGATGCTGCAAGTCTAGGTCACTAATTTCAGAGCAAAGTTAGGTCTCTCAAGTTAGACTAAGCCTAGGACACTAAAGTTGAACCAAGTCTAGGTCACTAATTTCCGAGCAACGTTAAGGTCTCTCAAGTTAGACCAATCCTAGGTCACTGAAGTTGAACCAAGGCTAGGTCATTAATTTCAGAGCAAAGTTAGGTCTCTCAAGTTAGACCAAGCCTAGGTCAATGAAGTTGAACCAAGGCTAGGTCACTAATTTCAGAGCAAAGTTAGGTCTGTCAAGTTTAGACCAAGCCTAGGTCACTGAAATTGAACCAAGGCTTGGTCATTAATTTTGGAGCAAAGTCTAGGTTTCTCAATCGGAACCTAGAGTAGAGAATCAGGATTATTATTAATCATTTGAATTATTATTGGAATTTTTTAAATATAAAAGTTCTTCCGCCGAGTTGTTATCCTGAGGCCATTTCCTTCCGAACTTGTCACTTGCACTCAACTGTGTTTTTAGTTTGTTTGTTTTTAAGTAAAGCCCTTGTGAACTCAGGGAATAATTTTCCTGGTATCGCATCGCAATTTGCTATGCATTTTTGCATGACTGCTATACAAAATATCTTTTGTGTAGCAGTTTTCTTCCATAGAAATGTACAGAATTTCATTTGAAATATTTATCCATCGGCTGAAATTGCTAATCAAAAAAATTGAGGAAAATTATTCCCTGGAACTTGACTTTAGTGCCCCCCCCCCCATCCCTCCCTCATATTTCATGAGATTTCTGAGATGTCGTTGATCCTTGCATGGATGTAAATTCCCATATGTAAAACCGCAGTCGGCTATGAGGTTGCATTGTGATAACCTTGATTTGACTTTCCATTATTGAAAGCTATTTACACAATGATCTCTCTCAAGTTATGAATGGAGTACTTAGATATTGCTGCATGCATCTTTTTATACAATAAGCCAGTTTGTAAATAGCTTTGGATACGTCTCACTTGTGCACTTTAGAATAATCACTGCCGAAGTGATGGAGGTGCTTTATGAATACCTTTTGTTTGCCTCTTGAGAAGAATACTTCCACCTGTGTATCAGATAAATGTACTGTCGGTGCGTTAATGAATACTGATTACATAAGGTTCATGAGCTCGATACCAGTATTCGACTCAATGGTTTTACAATTTAGGAACAAATGACCTTTATCTGCCCAGCCCATGCGCAAATCCTAATTACGAACTCGCTTATTAGGACAGTATATACAAAACATATACAAGCAGGACCCTGTCTATCAAAAACTTGTTATCAATGCTAAATATCTGTGACAAATTTAGGTCTCTGTTAATCAAATTCCAATATCGATTATTGTAACTTGTCATTGATAACAAGTTTTATGAAACAGGACCCAGATCAGTGTACACAAGACATTACAGTGTCAGGACAATCAATACCTGAATGACTCTCGGTTCATAGGTCTGAATTTAATCCTGATCATAGAGAATGGAGCAAAATGAGTCAAATAAAATCTAGTCATATTATAGTGTGTAAAAGGATAAAAATTATGCAACAGTGATGACAACAGATCATTCCATTCATTTTAGAATGATATTACATTGTGATTATAAACTATCTCGTTAGTCTGAGTTGCAAACCGTCCCATGAACTTTTAGTGTATTCAGTTTACTCCCTTTACAAGAAAACATGATTAAAAACCAATTGATGAAATCCATTTTTTCTTTTGATGTAGGACTTATGAAATTACATATAAATTTCTTGCTTAATGATTTCATCAAGATGGTTTGGTTAATTTAGAAATAGGTTCTAATACTCATCCAGAGTCAATTAGCTTTTGGGTGGCGGAGTCTAAAGCCAACCCTCTATGATTGCGTATATATGAAAGGGGTATTAGAAACAGCAAGTGTGTGTGAAATGTAAGTTCTTATTAAAAAAATGAGAGTAAGTGACCATTGATTAACACTAGGAAATGAGTTTTATAAAACTTCTTATTAATGCTAAATATCTATGACAAATTTGCTCTCAGTCAATCAAATTCCATGATTTCAGTAGCTTAGAACGACTATTGTAACTTGTTGTCATCGATCACAAGTTTTTATGAAACGGGGCCCATTACACAAGTCAAATAGTATATTAGGAAAATTCATTTCAATTTCGTACTTTAAATGAACATGGTGATAAATATAGAGCCGTTTGTTTTTGTTTATAGGAAGAGAATTGGCAGGATGCGATAGAAGCTATACAGGTCATTAGGAAAATTCATTTTAATCTTGTACTTTAAACTTGCTCAAGCGTGGATGTATAGAGGGCAGCACACGGAGGTACGCACGGGAGCGTAATACCCATTGGCTCAGTCTTATAGTGATCGGGAGTGATCGCCAAGTTGCCTACTTCACGAACGACTATATACCCACGCTTGAGCAACTTGAAATGAACATGGTGATGAATATTGAGCCGTTTGTTTTTGTTTGCAGGAAGAGAAACGCCAGGATGCGATAGAAGCTATACAGGTCATTAGGAAAATTCATTTTAATCTTGTACTTTAAACTTGCTCAAGCGTGGATGTATAGAGGGCAGCACACGGAGGTACGCACAGGAGCGTAATACCCATTGGCTCAGTCTTATAGTGATCGGGAGTGAACGCCAAGTTGCCTACTTCACGAACGACTATATACCCACGCTTGAGCAACTTGAAATGAACATGGTGATGAATATTGAGCCATTTGTTTTTGTTTGCAGGAAGAGAATCGCCAGGATGCGATAGAAGCTGTACAAGTCAGCATCATGAACAACACCTACCTGGCTAACGTGGAGTATAGGAATGGCGCGCTGGAGTACGTTACGCTGCTCACACCGGAGAAGAAGGACGATGTGGCAGAGGGACTGCTCAGAGATGGTCTCATCTTAGCCGAGAAGAGACGAGAGAAAAGACTAGCTAAACTCGTCACCGAATACGCAAAGGCCCAAGAAGCCGCGAGAAAGGACCATGTAAGTACTTCTCCTCAACATTTTTTTTCTTCTTCAAAATAGTTTTTTTTATTGATTCCAAACAATATATAAATCAATCTTAGAAATGAAGTACAGTTGTTTTTCACCTTGACATGAATTCAAAACATATTCATTACATAGATTGTATGTTTGATGGAGGAAAAAAAATGGAATCAGTTGTAACATAAAACAAATAACCCCATCCAACAAAACACTACTAACCCCCCCCCCCCCCCCACCCATGCGACACACACACACACACCACACTTCCACACAAATACCACACACTGTTCCTAGCCTCCTCAAAATACCCATGCTCACATGACAGTTGCTCAGGGGGCAGTCGGTAGCGAATTCCAAGCATGCAGTTTCAACCAATCAGAGGCCTAGAATCTACATATGCGTTTTATAAAGTAAAACCTGTTTATAAAGACCGCTTAAGGGCAACAAAAAAAGTGGGCCCTTACCGAAAATCATATACTACACTGTTGTTTGTGTAAATAACCTTCCACTTTCGCTTTTGTTCAACTTCAAGCTCATTCAGATATCAAACAATAAGCTGCTGTTTGTTTTTTAATTTTGTTTATAGGGGAGGGGGGGGCGGTTAACATCTAAATGAACAGCAACCGAGTGGACCTAAGTTCCCATGTGTTATGATATAAGATAAAGAAGTTTGAAGTGTATTACAATTATATAAAAAATGGCTCAGTTTTAATACCACTTTGTATCTGGAGGAGGCTTTAGCTGCCGATGTATGAAATATTCTCATATTTTCTCTTTACAGAAAAATTTGTGGCGATACGGCGACATCACAGAGGACGACGCCAAGGAATTTGGCTTTTCGGGGTGAAGCGTCACAGATCTAACCTCGACTTCAGTCTTCAAATAGAAAGAAAAAAACACTTGACATGACCCAAAATTCAAATGCTTTAACAAAAATTAAAATAAACAAGTCAATATCATGAATTCTGTCAAATGCTTTTGAAAATGCTTTTGTTACATGAATGTCTGTTTAACCTGATTTTGATAAATATTTTCTTTTTTGCTCCTACTAAATTTGAGATTTGAAATTTGACATCGTTAAATAGGGTTTTTCATTACAGATCTTATGAGGAAAAAAATGATAAAGGAGAGACAGTCAGGAACAGTCTTTAGTAGGCAGTTTACATGTAGGTACTTATTTACTGGAAACAAATGTTTTTATCAAGTTGTTCTGTTTGAATTTTGTTGAGTTCAACAACATTTGACTATGTTGAATTTAAAACCCTAAAGCATCCCTTAAAGCGATGCTTATTTCAATGTCATGATACTTGCATGCTTGAAAACTTCCCTTCAAATAAGGGCAAGAATAACCCTGATGGGCGGGGCATCGAATATGCCGGTTCCAAACCTACATTTAAACATTTACAAAGCAACTTTCTTTTTAAAAAAACAGCAGTGAACGGTGTTTGCCATTTTTCATCTTGTTAGGTGTATACATAATATATTCATCAGTTAACGATGCATAGGCTTTGCCTTAAATATGGGGCTCGTCCTATACACATAAGGGTTAAAATCATGTCAGTGTAACTTTTCTATTTGAAGACTTGAACAACCCAGCATGCTCAAGTGAATAATAGATACTCTCTAACAAATTAAAAGAGAACCTTAGATACATTTAATCAGAAATATCTTTATTATGCTTCCAAGAAGAAAAGGTCAGAGATAAATTAGGAATTTAAAATGTAAATGGATGTCTCGACAGTAGTTTTACTTTGAGACGATTTATTAATTTTCATTGTATTAGTAGCATGTAACAATGTATGTCTATGTTAGTTGTAGTTTTAGTTGAATGGGGTCAAAACAGGAGTTGTTTGTTTTTGGCCGAGGTATAACACGGCTTGTCTTACGTAGTATTGTTCTTTCTTTATGTGGTGTTTGGGAAATGATCATCATTATTCCTTATTTCTCACTTTATTTCGGTATCAAAGGACAATAGGAACGACCTTTGTTTCTTCTTCTTTGTCCCCTTTAGCTCCTCTGCCTTTTGCATGAAAGTGAAGGGTTGGGGGGGGGGGGCATTTTATTGAAATTAGCCATTCTTTTGTGCAAATTTTTGTGTAACATTTCGTTTCTTTCTCCTTCTTTAACTCCATAATATTTCTGCTATTATCTACCCTCTACTTTGTTCTCTTGTATTGAATAGTTCTTTATTCTAAGTTGACAACAGGAATGTAAGAATCATGACAGTAATTGTAATTCTACGTGTTCTTTACATATAATACATGTATTTGTGTTTCAGACAAAAACTGAATTTCGTTATAACGTGGAAAGGAAAAGTAATCGCTTTGGAATATGTTACAGTTGCTTGTAAACAGTTTTTAAGTTTAGCATTTTTTCCCAGATTATGCATCTTCGATAATATACATTGAGAAACATTGATAAATACCAAATGAAATATTCAGGAAATTTACTTGTGCTTAAATTCGTTATTTTTTAAATGTATTAATTAATTAAACACAAAGTGTCATTATCTACATTGTTCATTCTTTCCAGAATATATTTTTTATCCTTGGTTATCTAGCTATGTAAACAATTAACTCACAGTTTTAGTCATACTTGGTGAGGGAAAACATTTTGATGATGACTTTTCCTATTATTATGGGGCGATTGATGGAAAATGCAAAGCGCATTTTATAAGACCTGGGGGGGGGGGTGTTTCACACAGATCCCAAGTTGAATTTTATCTCTAAGTTGGACTTGGAAATGATGGAAAGCTGTTAGCATCTATGAAAATATTTTGTAAAAGTTATTTTTAAATGTCATAAAATGTTGATTCAAATCATTCATATTTTCAAGGAGATTTCATGTTCTTGATGTGGAATTTATGAAAAAATTAAAATCTAAAAATACTTGCATTGAATATATTTTATTTGAAGGCAACAAATGGCTCTCCATAATGTTTAAGTCCAACTTAGAGTTAAGTTCGACTTCAGATCTTTGTGAAACACCCCCCTGTTGGTCTTACTAGTGAAGGCCACTCCAGGTTATTCAGTATCAGAATGACAACACATTCTCCATGAGAATCGATTCTCTAGTGTCTTTAAGAAATACATGTGCAAGAGATAATACATGGATATTATATGTAAGACATCTCATCATTATATGAATTTGGTAATCACTTCATTATCAAATGTACTATGCAATGGTTTAATGTATCATTGTTTGTACACAACCATGAATCAAGACATTGTTTGATAGGTATTCATTGTTTATAATCGGGGGGGGTGTTTCACAAAGATTCTAAGTCGAACTTAACTCTAAGTTGGACTTAAATATTATGGAGAGCCATTTGTAGCCTTAAAATAGAATGAATCCAAAAGCAAAAATTCAAGTATTTTTGAGTTTTCATAAATTCCACATCAAGAATATGAAATCTCCCATGATAATAGAAAATATGAATGATTTGAATCGAGATATTATGCCTTTTAAATACCTTTAACAAAATATTTTCAATGATGCTAATGGCTTTCCATAATTTTTAAGTTCAACTTAAAGTCTTTGTGAAACACCCCCCTGGTATTTGATGAACTAGCCATCTACTTCAATTGCTCATATTCCATTATAAAACATATATGTCTTTATGGGATTTTATTACTTTTATTTTTAGTATAGCAGCCAAGTAGTATTAAACCTTTTCTGAGAAGAAACTTGTCTGTTGAAGTGATTTCTCTGGGGATTTTAGGTCTGTAACCTGACCTGGGGGGGGGGGGGGGGTGTTTCACAAAGATCCCTAGTCGAGCTTAGCTCTAAGTTGGACTTAAATATTATGGAGAGCCATTTGTAGCCTTAAAATAGAATATATTCAAAAGCGAAAATTCAAGTATTTTAGAGTTTTTATAAATTCCACTTCAAGAACATGATATCTTCTTGATGATAGAGAATATGAATGATATGAATCAACATTTTAAGCCTTTCTAAATAACTTTTACAAAGAATTTTCAAAGATACTAACGGCTTTCCATAACTATTAAGTCCATCTTGGAGATACCAGTAAGTTCAACTTAGGACCTTTGTGAAAAACACCCTGGTGTCTAAGATGTTTATTTAAAGGTAATACAAAGTTTTGGGAAATTTTAAAAATTTGGGTGGATAGTGAATCTTTACAATTTTGATATATTTGGATGCCCCTGTGGATGTATTATAAGCACTACAAAAATTGACCCCTAAAACACTTCTGTTTTCGAGAAAAATTGAATATAAAAATTTACCGGTGCTCCCGGTAAATTTTGATAAATTTCAAATAGCGCCTACGGTCGTACAATGGTAGCTGCGACCATGAAAATCTCAGAATATGTAGTTGTGATGTATAATTTCCAAACGGGAATAGATAATCGGTCGATTTTAGTCAAGAAACATCGTTTCATAGCTAAATTAATATCTTGACCTTGAGACCTTATAACTTCATAACTCCACAACTTTAGACTCAATTTCAACCGGGACAACGATCAATGAATATTGTAGGAACGCATATGCTTCCAATATGTTAATTTGAACCAAATTCATGACGCCATAGCAAAACTTTGTAATACCTTTAACAAATGCAAAATTGTGCTAACTTTGCTAAGCCCAAATTTCAACCAAATTTGACCAGTGTGTTTTTGCCATGTGTATACGCATTTATGCCTGTATGCACCCCTTTTAGGCACAGGAAAAGTGTGGTGTAATGACCGACAATAGAATGAGACTATAAGAGCCCAAGTATAGAAGAGGATGGCCCACCCGGTAACATTGGGTAGCCTTTGATCCTTACAACCTACTTGATCTACAGTGTGAAATTTACTCACTGTGCCACGTCTTCTCACAAGTCCCCGTCTTAAAAAAAAACTTTTGATGTCGCTACTCGACGGCAACCCGCTCTTGTAGAGATCAATTTTCAGCTGAAGTTCTCATTTTCACCACTACCGGAATGAAGATTTACCTTGAATGCTGTCGTAGGATCTAATTGAGGACTTAATCCTCAACTTGACGCATGCGCAGGTCTCTGTGACCGTTTCATGTCGTAGATCACGTCAGTCGTGCAAATCGAAAGCTCTCCATTATATGGAGGAGAGACCTGGGGGTGTTTCACAAAGATCCTAAGTTTAACTTATCTCTAAGTTGGACTTAAATATTAGGGAGAGCCATTTGTAGCCTTATAATGAAATATATTCAAAAGCAAAAATTCAAGTATTTTAGACTTTTCATAAATTCCGCATCAAGAACATGAAATCTCCCATGTTAATAGAAAATATGAATGATTTAAATCAACATTTTATGCCTTTTGAAAGAAGTTTTCAGAATATTTTCAAGGATGCTAATGGCTTTCAACAATTATTGAAAGCCATTAGCATCCTTGAAAATATTCTCTCCCTAATATTTAAGTCCAACTTGAGTTAAGTTCGACTTAGAATCTTTGTGAAACACCCCCCTGGGCATGTGAAGAAGCTGGAAGCTGCAGAGATGAGATGTCTGAGAGGTGTGAGAGGAGGGGAACGATGAGGTGCGAAGGGAAGTAAAAGTGACGGAATAAGGGAGAAGATTAGATACGGTAGACTGGGATGGTATGTAACTGTGAAGAGGAAAGATGAAGATCAACTGATTACACACGTAGAGGGCAGCAGAAAGAAAGGAGCAAGTAAGGAGAAAGAAAGGAAGAGGTGTTAAAGGCATCCTGTAAGGGCCCTACGTGTTATCAGTGTCTGTGATATGGTGTAATGTTGAAGCCCTAAAAAAAATTGCGCATCAAAATGATCAAGAAGTGCCTCAAAAAAATAAAAAATCTTTGAGTGACCAGTTTTACCATACTCGTTTTCCCGAAAGACTGAGGTTATGAAAACTGTTAGGAAAATGTAAAATTTGATTTTGATTTCCAAAAAATAAATGCACTTGCAAGGTTGTGTATTCAGACAGTTGATTAAACAGCATTTCAAAGAAGTTTAAAAGCAATATTTCATTAATCTTTTAAGACTTATGCTGGACATAAGTGTCTGTGATATGGTGTTATATTGAAGCCCTAACAAAATTGCACTCCAAAATGATCAAGAAGTGCCTCAAAAAAGTAAAAACCTTAGAGTGACTGGTTTTACCATACTCATTTTCCCCAATAGACCACAGTGTTATGAAAACTGGCAAACACAAATTTTAATTTAGATTTTCGATCATACATATCTTGATAATCAGACAGGCAATCCGCATGTAAAAGTCATGGGATTCCTGACTGACCTAAAGGTTTGTAGTTATGATTGCAGCATGAGCTAAATCCATGATTTTGTTTCAGAATCTGAGGCAATGTTACCAAGTCTTTTTAAAGGGATCCGGTAACTTTGTCCTAGATCCTTCAAAAAAAATTCCTTGATTTAGCTCGTGCTGCAATGAAATGATAATTATAAACCTTTAGGTCAGTCAGGAACCCTATGACTTTTACAAGCCGATCGCCTGTCTAATTATCAAGATATGTATGATCGAAAATCTAAATTAAAATTTGTGTTTGCCAGTTTTCATAACACTGTGGTCTATTGGGGAAAATGAGTATGGTAAAACCAGTCACTCTAAGGTTTTTACTTTTTTGAGGCACTTCTTGATCATTTTGGAGTGCAATTTTGTTAGGGCTTCAATATAACACCATATCACAGACACTTATGTCCAGCATAAGTCTTAAAAGATTAATGAAATATTGCTTTTAAACTTCTTTGAAATGCTGTTTAATCAACTGTCTGAATACACAACCTTGCAAGTGCATTTATTTTTTGTCAAGACATTAGTCTACATGTTTTCCTTATACATGTACAATGGGTATATGATATACTCAAGCCCTATACTACAATGGGTATATGATATGCTCAAGCCCTATACTACAATGGGTATATGATATGCTCAAGTCCTTTACTACAATGGGTATATATGCTCAAGCACAATACTACAATGGGTATATATGCTGGAGCCCTACACTACAATGGGTTATATGATATGCTCAAGCCCTATACTACAATGGGTATATGATATGCTCAAGCCCTGTACTTAATATACAATGGGTATAATATGCTCAAGCCCTATACTACAATGGGTATATGATATGCTCAAGCCTTATACTACAATGGGTATATGATATGCTCAAGCCCTATACTTAATACAATGGGTATATGATATGCTCAAGCCCTATACTTAATACAATGGGTATATGATATGCTCAAGCCCTATACTTATACAATGGGTATATGATATGCTCAAGCCCTATACTTGTTGGCCTCTGGGCTAATTAATTGGGTTGTGAAATTGGAGCACAATAAACATGAGATGCACGCTTGTAAGAGCATTTACACAACAGTCACTATCATCAAATGTTTCATTCAATGATTACAATATATTAGATTTCAATAGAATGAAGCCATGAACATTGAAAGAGTTTGACCACAGCTGCAGTATTTTTATTTGGATTTATTTCCACAAAACATGAAATAAAAGTGTACAAAATGATAAATGTACAATCCAATGAAATGGAGGGATACCAAAAGTATAAACTATTATCTAGGTTAAACACAATACGAAATAATAATAAGTATGGATTTATACATGTAAAGTGCTTAATACCTTATACGGTCTGTAAGTGCTTTACATATATTATTATCCCATTCATCGAAGCACACGATGTGCACACTTTCCAATCGCATGAAAACAAAAAAAATAGAAGAAGAGGAAATTGCAGACATCTTCATGAGGTGCACCTTTCACATGCACAGGCCATAATGACTTGCTGAACATTGTTTTTATCTCATAAAGACTTGAAACTCTCAAAGTATACTTAACAGGCATTCAAGATAATACAAGGAGACACATGTAGGCTGCTACACATTATACAGTCGTGTAAATATGAATCTTTTTGGCGGGTACGAGGCATGACATCATCATAAATTTATCCAGGAGTGTTTCACAAAGATCCTAAGTTGAGCATCTATGAAAATATTTTTGTAAAAGTTATTTTAAAAGGCATAAAATGTTGATTCAAATTATCTACATTTTTTTATTATCAAGGAGATTTCATGTTCATGATGTGGAATTTATAAAAAGTCTAAAATACTTCAATTTTTGCTTTTGACTATATTTTATTTAAGGCTACAAATGGCTCTCCATACTATTAAGTCCATAGTATTGAGTCCAGCTTAGAGTTAAGTTTGACTTGGGATCTTTGTGAAACGCCAGTTCTTGCGCTGGAAGGTTATAAATAAACTAAACACGTAGATATGCAACGCTATGAATACACACAATGTCAATGTTGACTGCTATCCAATGATTATATTACCGTGAGACAATCAGGAGTGACATCATACTGGCCAACTTGGTAAAAGTTGCTAGTTCTAGACAATTTGGTGCTGAACAATGGTGTGGTGATCACACCATGCAGTGCAAACACTGAATTTGCCCTGCTCTAGCCCGTTGCTTGAACGATTTCGGGATGAACCTCATGCACAGGCTCTGTTGTTATAATCATCAAGCAATATGACGACTATTATCTTTGGGCAACCTCCAAAAAAATGTCATTACCGTACTGCAAAACAGCTATCTTTTAGGATTTGTAGAAAGCTAGTGTTGCAAGAAATTTCTTATATTAAAGTACTGTATTTGTTTATAGTTAACCTTGCACTACATAAACTCCTTAATGGCACAATGTTGTATAATAAAGTGCACCATGCAATGACCTAAACAAACAAAAAACTTGTGTACAGCTGGAATGTACAAACTCAAACTCAATTATCTTACCGGTACCTAGCATTCTAGGGGTTAACAAACCTGAGGCAAATCAAGAACATAAAGCCAAGCACATGGAACCCGAGTTGGATTTGGTTCCTTGCAGGTGAATCGAGTATAACAATGTCAAACCCCTATTAACACACAGAGCAAAATATTTTTGGGGTGGTTGGTACAGCACTAGATATAGAGGAATGTCTAAAGGGCCATTGATGTTGCTGTCTAAAGGGCGTTGATGGAGCTGTCTAAGGGCCATTGATGGAGCTGTCTAAAGGACCTTAGCTGGAGCTGTCTAAAGGGCAGTAGATGGAACTGTCTAAAGGACGTTGATGGAACTGTCTAAAGGGCGTAGATGGAGCTGTCTAAAGGACCGTAGATGGAACTGTCTAAAGGGCCGTAGATGGAGCTGTCTAAAGGGCCGTAGATGGAGCTACGTAAAGGGCCGTAGATGGAGCTGTCTAAATGGCATAGATGGAGCTGTGTAAATGGCGTAGATGGAGCTCTGTAAAGGGCCGTAGATGGAGCTGTCTAAATGGCGTAGATGGAGCTGTCTAAAGGGCGTTGATGGAACTGTCTAAAGGACGTTGGTGGAACTGTCTAAAGGACGTTGGTGGAACTGTCTAAAGGGCCATAGATGGAGCTGTCTAAAGGGCGTTGATGGAACTGTCTAAAGGGCCGTAGATGGAGCTGTCTAAATGGCGTAGATGGAGCTGTGTAAAGGGCCGTAGATGGAGCTGTCTAAATGGCGTAGATGGAGCTCTGTAAAGGGCCGTAGATGGAGCTGTCTAAATGGCGTAGATGGAGCTGTCTAAAGGGCGTTGATGGAACTGTCTAAAGGACGTTGGTGGAACTGTCTAAAGGACGTTGGTGGAATTGTCTAAAGCGCCATAGATGGAGCTGTCTAAAGGGTGTTGATGGAACTGTCTAAAGGGCCGTAGATGGAGCTGTCTAAAGGGCTGTAGATGGAGCTGTCTAAAGGGCTGTAGATGGAGCTGTCTAAAGGACCATAGCTGGAGCTGTCTAAAGGACCATAGCTGGAACTGTCTAAACGGCCATTGATGTTGCTATGTTGATATCATGAGATATGACTTGGCGATCCCAACCACAGGTTAGAAGCTTGTTACTCTGAGAATCCCAGGATAGTCCATGAACAAAGTCATTGTGGGCATAGCTACGGTATCTGCAAAGGCAAACAAAATCAATGTGTGAAAATACAGTATGATGGGGAGGGTTGTGTGTCTAGATGCTTTATGAACAGAATAAAGCCATCACTTTTACCTTCAGATATAACAAAAATGTATTCATCAAATAGCATTAATCGTCATAAATATTTATCCTTTATAACATCGTCTAACATAATCTTCAATATTAATGAAATACTGCATGTAAACTTCTTCAAATTACCATTTTTTGGCCAACCGTTTGGATACACAATCTGTCCAGACACACAACATCTGGACAGCCATTAATGGTATGGCCACCAAGTCTGGTGTCGGTGAACTATGGCCTTCTGCTCATGGAAACTGATGACCCTCTCCCTTTAACGGTATGTATATTGTTTTATATTCTTTCTTCAACTGTCAAGAGTACAGTTTCTTCATCAGCCCAATGAAATTAATTTTGAAAAGGGGGATCAAACTTACATTTGTTTGAGCTCTGGTTGTAGTTCAGTAACTGCTGCTGTACAATCATCAGATACAGATGCAAGTAAGAGAGGACTGGGAAGAAAAGTATTGATAAATAAAATAAGGTTAATTACTTGATAATTACTTGATACAATTCAACTTTAAATTTATGTATAATATTTTACCAACACCTGTTAATTTATTCAAATGGAAAATCAAAGAAAACAATTTGTGTTATTACTGTAAAAAACCTGGTACTATTATACATGTATTTTTTGAATGCGAACATATTTACCCATTTTGGAACGTTATTGAAATATTATTATGTAACTCCTTCTGTAAAAATGTTAAGTTCTCACCCTTTTGTGTTGCATATGGTTTTCATGACGCATATTGATTTAATACTTGGAAATCAATTTAATAAAAATGTAGTAACGAGAATAATAAGCAAATATTTTTGGTTATGTTGAAATACAAAATAGAAGTAGAGGAAAATACAACTAAGACAACAGATTTGAATATAACTAAGTGGAAGAAGACAATTACTGATTTACAATCTGCTATCAAGTAAAAAGAGATATATAATTTGCTTTGATCTCATTTAAACATGTGATTAAGTGCTTTGTTATGAATATTTATGTACTATCTGTGATTTTATCTAAATAAAGATTTATTTCAACAACAACAACAAAAATTTTAAAAAATAAGGTTCACGATGAATACAAGATACAAGATGCGCCAGGGGGAAAAAAGTTGAAAGCAGCCTAAACCATCCTCCAGATCATACCATTGAAATGAAATCATTTAAAGAATTTTCAAACTTTAAAGCTAAAGACCAGTTATGGTCATGCAATTGCATAGTGAAAGAAACGTGAAATTGATCAGAAAAGGTTGATCATCTAGCATAGATGTACTGCAAGGTTCTGGAATCATAAAAATTATAAGAAATTTGGCCAAGTCTTCATAATATAAGAACCACTGTACACAGAAAGATGTATATGGGACTACACACACGTGCGCGACACGTGCATTTGTATCTCTCAACAGTATATAGATATACTAATTTACCAAATATATCAATCAGTAGGCGGTTTCCCGTCAAAAATGTTATCGTCATGTAATATTCAAAACATATTCTTTCACATGATTGGTATAAAAGCTTCCATTTCATTTTTTGAAATTGGGGCGCTTCCAATACTGGTCTTTACCTTTAAGTACATGTAATTATTTTATTCACCTGTAAAGAATAATTGTATTTCAATAGTCAGAATGCACACTTCATATTTTATGTGTTGCTAGGTAGGGGCAAGTCACGTTTGTCCTACCTAACAAAAATACTGTATGCCATTCGCATTCTGACTGTTGAGATTAAAGGGGTGATTTGTATGAGGCACTTCACAAAGTATGCATTAAATTTGGTTACATTATGAAAAAAGCCTATTGCAGAGAAGTTGATGGGAATGAACTAGAAGAAATAATAAATAAGAGTCAAACACCAAATTCATACCAATTCACCTAATCACCACTCATGCTAAAACTGAATAGCACGCATAGGCACAATGCAACAGACTAAAAAATGAGATAGAAATTAGCTTACGATTTGGTGGAGAAGGCTAGCCTGTGTACTGCCCTCGTGTGAGCTGATGTAACAATAGCTGCGTTTTGATGACTACGAGCGTCTAGTAGAGTGATGCTACCACTCTCGTCACCTGCACAGCACAAAATACAAAGGCAAGGAATTTCAAAGCATTAAATATGTAACATTTGATACATCATTTAAAGATAAAGACCAGTTATGGTCATGCGATTGCATTGTGTGAAAGAAACGTTGTGGAATCGATCAGAAAAGGTTGATCATCTAGCATATAAGTATAGGTGTGTACTGCAAGGTTCTGGAATCATCAAAATGATAAGAAATTTGGCCCAGACTTCGTAAAGTTACAAGCACTGTACACAGAAAGATGTATATGGGACTACGCACACGTGCGCAACACATGCGTTTATCTCTCACAGTCCAAGAGATAAACTAATTTACCAACTATATCAATTAGTAAGCGGTTTCCCTGCAAAATTTGTATCATCATGTATAATAGTCAAAACATATTCTTTCACATGATTGATCATTGGTAATAAAGAGCTTCCATTTCATTTTTTGAAATTGGGGTGTCTCCAATACTGGTCTTTACCTTTAAAAAGCAAAACTCAAATGTACCAATCACCATAATTATCAGCAAGTATTTCTGCGTTGCTTTATGATAAACGTTATTTTATGTGCAAAACATTTCAGGGGATAGATTTGTTTGTTTTTGTTGCAACATTTTTTGTTTTGTTCATGTTGTGGTGATTGTTTTTTAATGTTACACTGAAATGTGAAACAACATGATTGTAAGTGTGAAACAATATGATTATTCCTTTATTTTTCTGCAAAAAAATGTAATATTTAATTTAATATTTTGTAAATCATTGTTTCCTGACCAATAAAACTCATCAGGTTTTTAAAAAAAATTAAAATTATTGGTTTTAAGCTGGGGATCGATTCTAATCCATATTCTCTTCATAAGACAGGCCCTAAACACAATAATACCCCTGTACATCTCAGCTGATACTTAGATGGATAGTTAAGTTAAAGGTAATACAAAGTTCTGGTATGGGATCATGAGTTTGGTCCAAATAAATATATATTGGAAGCATATGCGATCCTATAATATTCAGTGATCGTTGTCGCAGTTGAAATCGAGTCTAAAGTTATGAAATTGTTAATAATAATCTCTTTATGTTGTATAGCTCCCTCTCAGGGTCAAGATATTAATTAAGCTATAAAACAATGTTTCTTGACTAAAATCGACCGACTAGCTATTCCCGTTTGGAAATTATATATCACAACTACATATTCTAATATTTTCATGGTCGCAGCTACCATTGTACGGCTGTAGGCACTATTTGAAATTTATCCAAATTTACCGGGAGCACCGGTAAATTTTTATATTCAATTTTTCTCGAAAGCAAAAGTGTTTTAGGGGCTAAATTTCCTAGTGCTTGTTACACATCCACAGGGGCATCCAAATCTATCGAAATGGTAAAGAATCACTATCCACCCAATTTTCAAAATTTCCCAAAACTTTGTATTACCTTTAAGTTTTGTTGCAGATGGCGCTACACAAAATATTTCATTGTGAGAAAATGAAAAACTGAGTGTCAAATTTGAAAGAACATACAATTTAAATGACAAAATTATCTTTGTTAGGTCTACTCGGTCAAGGATGACATCGTTAAAAACAACATAGCTGGATCATTCATCAAACTATGAGGAAGAAATTGACTTTAAAGGGATGAGAGAAAATGGTGCTTAGGTAGTGACTTCAATGCTAGAGGTACAATTAAAGATAATCTGAAAGTTTGAGTGAAAACAGACCATTGCTAATGATAAAAATTGGGAAATACTCATCTGATCGATTCCTTAATTCTTCCAACTACATGTATATTACTCCAATTTAATCACATTTTAGGTGAATGTAAATCGTCACAAAGCAATGAATTGGCTCTACATGTACCGTTCCAGACATTAAAAAAGACAGACGTGTGTTTTTTTTCAATGGAAAAATGGTTGGGAAAATCCAAAACGGTTGGGAGAATTTACTGTTAGAGGGTGTTGCACAGTGACGCCTTCAAAGAAAATTATTGATATCTTTGTGGTTTGAGAATTTTTCAGGATTTTTTGCACATTAGAGGGTTAGTACAGTAGAAGGAAAATAGTACCGGTAAGTATAACATTTCATACAAAAATTACGCAGATTTTTCATCAACATTCAACAATGTATATATGTATATATGTTCTTACTTATTGTTTATTGCTGTTATAAATTCATGTTCAAGATTTTGTTATTAATATTATTATCATATATATATTTGTTAAACTATAATGTACCTCATTAAGTTAAACAGGGCCTCATGGAAGACCACCATTATTGGTGATAATGAGTCACCCTGTCTAAATATCAGAAATAAATAAATAAATAAATAAGATGTTACCAAGTCACTTTAAAGCTTACCGACTGCTATAACATAGGATTCTCCTGGTTTCCAAACTACACTTGTAGGCAGGCCTGAAGGACAGGATAGACGCTGTGCTGGTTTAGCTTTCCGCATATCCCATAACATTACTGAACCATCCTGTAACAAATACATATTATTAAACCAATATAATAATAATAATAATAATAATAATCTTTTAAAGTCCACTCAAAATTTATTAGGTTAAACCGAAAATGGGAATTACTTTTGCCCAATTGATCGTGAGCCCAGCAGCCACTGAGCAGCGCCAGATCGACGTCGATCCCTTACTGTTGAACGCCAAACAAGGTAGCAGCAACTCCCGTCTTTTAACGTCTTTTGGTATGACGCGGCCGGGATTCGAACCCATGACCTCCCGGTTGTGAGGCAGACGCTCTACTGACTGAGCCATCACACCGGTTGAGTGTCATCTTTGAGAGAGGGTTTATAAAACTTTGGAAAATTCAAACAATTGTTGCCAATTTTAGGAGTAGAAGGTGATTCATTTAGAACTCCTGGGGGGTGTTTCACAAAGATCCTAAGTTGAACTTATCTCTAAGTTGGACTTAAAATTTATGGGAAGCCATTAGCATCCTTGAAAATATTTTGTAATTTTTTTTTTAGAAGGCATAAAGTGTTGATTCAAAGCATTCATATTTTCTATTATCATGGGAGATTTCATGTTCTTGATGTGGAATTGATGAAAAGTCTGAAATCCTCCAATTTTTGCTTTTGAATATATTTCATTTTAAGGCTCCAATGGCTGTCCATACTTTTTAAGTCCAACTTAGAGATAAGTTCAACTTAGGATCTTTGTGAAACACCCCCCTGAACTGCTAGAGGTCAAAACAAAATTGTTCAATAGGTCATTTTTGTCATGTAACCAAATTTAATGAATTTTCATTCATTCATTCGTTCAGTTTATATTTTTTCTTTCTTATGTAATTGTACACGATTCCTTTTTCAAGATGTAATGTGTGTTCCCTAATAATATGAAGCGCCTTGAGCATTTAATTAGAATGGATAATAGCGCTTAATCAAATCTCATGTATTATTATCTTTGCATATTGTTCTTTGTTTCAAGGCCATGAATAATAGTCACAATATGAATTGCATAATGCATACAGTAAATATAGTAGTTGTTGCTAGGTAGGAAAAACACTAGGGTTTGCCATACAACACGTTACACATGCAATTTGTATCTGAATGATTAAAATACAAATGTACTGGGGCCCGTTTCATAAAACTTTTGATCAATAACAAATGCTAAATTTCTATGACAAATTTGCTCTCAGCCAATCAGATGCCATGATTTCAGTAGCTTATAACAGTAGCTTGTAACTTGTTATTGATAGCAAGTTTTATGAAACAGGGTCCAGTTCTCTTGACCTGGTGAGCATGACACGTGTGACACTATGAACATGACAGACAAAATATACAGTTCCTCATTCTACCCTCAACAATTGTTGTGGTAGACAAAGGAACATCCCTTCACTGCTATTATGTAAAAATGTGGAGAACAGGTGTCACATGCATATTCACCTGTTTTTACATAATAGCAGTGAAGTGATGTTCCTTTGTATACCACAGCATTTGTTGAGGGTAGAATGAGGAACTGTATATTTTGTCCTCTTTCTTTGTCCATCATATTCAAAGTGTGATTACCTGGGAGCATGAAACAAAGACTTCTAGTTCGTTGGGACTACACGCCAGCTGTTCTACCTTCGCTGTGTGAACATTGAGAGTACCAATAGAGCGCTGTGTAGCTAGATCCCATAGCTTGATCCTGTATTAAAGATAAAGACCAGTTATGGTCATGCGATTGCATTGTGAAAGAAACGTTGTGGAATCGATCAGAAAAGGTTGATCATCTAGCGTATAAGTATTGGTGTGTACTGCAAGGTTCTTGGATCATCAAAATGATAAAAAATTTGGCCAAGTCTTGGTAATGTTACAAGCATTGTACACAGAAAGATGTATATGGGACTACACGAACACGTGGCGTACAAATCTGTCCCAATTTTTATGATGTTACATGACATATTTAGAATATGAAGTCATATGAAGAGCCATGCTTTTCGGGAAGCATGTTTTAACTGATGTTCTTCCACACTTGCTTATGCTTACAAATTATTTTTCACCTCTTCCCAGAACTCAACCTTCTCTTTAAGAAGAAGGTTTCCCTCAAGATCTTCATTTCATCTCCCTATATAAGATGTTATAGATAGTAGTACCAAGTTTGAAGGTCATGGCTCAAAGAGTCCATGAAATGAGGCTATTAAAATACATATTTGAGATACATGTGAGTTGGTCTAGCGGCATGTTCATTTGGTCAGCTCTCTGTCTTCGCCTAAAAACTGATTTTAGATCTTGAGGTGTGTTTGAGTAGATTAGCAGAATAGAGAGCAGGGGGGTGTTTCACAAAACTTGTCATCAGTGACAAATGACAGTTTGTGTTATAAGCTACTGAAATCCTTGCTTCTGATTGATTATCAGCAGATTTGTCACTGATCTTTCTTATTTGTCATTGAAAAAGGCTTTGTGAAACGGGTCCCTGTTGTGTAATCATGCATACTCACAGTCTGTCGGATGAACCGCTGATGACCCTAGTCTTGTTAGAGTTCACACTGACAGAGTTCACTGCACTGTCGTGCTCGTACAGATAGAACAAATTGCGGAAAGCGTTGCTCTCCAGCTGCCAAATCTCAATTGCACCTTAAGAAAAAGAAATTAATATTATCATAATAAAAGTTAAATGAATCAGTATTCCCTTTCCAAATTGGCAACAATCATCTTTTCACTATCACATTTTATAAATACAGTTTTATACAAATAATACACAGGTGTGAGTGTGTAATGGTCCAGTGAAACAAATACACGGGGGCTCAGGGCGAATTTGCCCCCGAAATGCCCAAAAGAGCCCCTTTAAATGTGCATGGAGTTCAATGCAAAACAAATTTTAGAGTGTTATTTTTATGCAGGCAAGCTTGAAAAGTAGCCCCTGAAAAATAAATATTAATTTTTTCCCCGTTATGGTCGATGCAGCGCATGAGGGTATTCACTATGGTGCAATAACATTCACGAGGCATAGCCGAGTGTATTTTGTGCCATTGTGAATACCTGATTAGCGCTGCATCGCCATAACGTCACAAACGAAAACCTGTGTATTATTGTTTTATAAAATGGGTCGACAATCTTACTAGCAAGGCGATAACACTGTAAACCTGCAACCTTCATAAGTAATAACATGTGCACACAGATGATTGTAGCAGCAGTGGCCTCGAAACAAGACTGTGCAGTGCATGGTGCGACTTCTCATAAACATGTATTGAATTTCATTTACACGCAGCGTGCATTACCATACCATACACCACACATACACCATACACCATGCATGCATGTACCTGTATCAGATCCAATAGCTAGTCTGTTTTCATCTATCCATTCCACGTCTGTGATCCCTGCTTCTGTACGCACGCCTGCACTGCATCTATTTACATCTGGAGCACTCGTAGAATCTTCATAGTACCATAGAGAACCCGTCCAAAGTCTCCCAGTTAGTCCAGATGCAGCTAAGATCACCGAACCATCTACAAAGAAAACAAATCCTTCCAGTTAATTATAACTATCCCTGTACATGAGAGGAAACAAATGTTCGTGCCTTACAAGTTCAATCGAGGGTTCAGTGACACAAAGACGTAACTCCATATTTTGCCAAAATGAGTATTTGATATCAAAATGTTCAGAAAAGTGTGGGCTTTCCAGGAAACAGAAAGACTTAACTCTACCTAACACCCCCATTGAAGTCAATGGCTAGTGAAAGATAGACTTAACTCCTTAAGGCCCAAGTGCTCAGTGACTTTAAACCACTTTTTCTCAAAATGGCCACAATGGAGTTACGTCTTTGATGCCACTGACCGCTCCATATATTCTAGGCTTGAACTGAAGCATGAAATGCCATCTACATGTATACACATGCACAGAAAAATGTTTAAAATAAACTAGAATAAAAATTTATTGGTTTGTATACCCTACCAGTAGTCAAAATAAAATAAAATAATACTATTTTCAAATCTGAATATATTTTTCATCTTATCTCTTGTTCCAATTCCTTATCCCAAAAATATGCTGTTTGTCCATTTTCCAGAAACATAACATGCCATCCATACACGTACACAGAAATGTTTAAAATAGACTAGAATCAAAAAGTATTGGTTGGTACGGTATACCCTACCAGTAGTCAAAATAAAATACAATTCCGGTACTACTTTCAACTCTGAATATATTTTTCATCTTATCTCTTGTTCCAATTCCTTATCCAAAAAATATGCCGTTTGTCCATTTTCCAGAAACATAACATGCCATCCATACACGTACACAGAAATGTTTAAAATAGACTAGAATCAAAAAGTATTGGTTGGTACAGTATACCCTACCAGTAGTCAAAATAAAATACAATACTACTTTCAACTCTGAATATATTTTTCATCTTATCTCTTGTTCCAAATCCATTATCCTTACCCTAGAGATATGTTGTTTGTCTATTTTCCATTTTTTTTTTCTCAAGAAATAGAACAAATACATTTATACCGGGTGGTCTTAAAGCCCCACTGTCCTACTTGTAGCTACTTGCTCCCTCTATATAGAACACGTCCCCAATCGGTGCCTGTTGGTCCCCCATGATCCTCTTTTTCTTATGTTAGTTGAGAGCTGAGTTGATGAGATAGCCACCTGTTAGTGAACTGGCTGGGGGGTCTAATCCCATCTGGCCCAGTAATATTGACGGTCTTTAATTTTTTCTTATAGGAAATATCATAAAAATAAAGAGAAAAAAGCACAAAATATTTTTTTTTTAATGTGAAATACGAGCAGGATAACCTGTTAAACTCAGTGATTCTGCTCATAAAAGCATTGATCCTGCTCAATTCCTTAACTTGTTTGTTAAAGTATATTGTGGTAAACAAGCCATGTCTGATTAAGCTGATTAATTTAGATTTTTGATAACTAAAGTCTTATAGTACCAGATAAATGGGGAAAGGGGAAACCGAGAGAAGACTTAGATCAGTCTGGTTTTCATATTACATGGTTTGCCCGAGCGCCAGTCTCGGCTGGCTACCACAAGCAAGCTGCGCTATAGATGTGATACAATGCAGGCAGGTTGCACGTTCGAATGTACGTACGCGTAATGCACATGCAGACAGGCCTACCATATACTACACTGTATAACGTTTCATCAACGTTATATTATATCCACTCGCTATTTGAAAGTTATAAAATAGATCTATAGTCTAGAGATCTGTCAAAACTGCATTGTTGCTGTCAGAGGTACTTCTTTCCTCTTCTCCTCAAAACTCAAATAAAGTATGTTTTCGTCCATATCAATATTTCCAGGGGATTTTGAGTGTTTGAAACTAAATGTCACCTTGAAAAAAGTGACTTTATGAATCTTGTGAACCAGAAGAAATAGAAATTATAGATGTCTGGTAATTGAGAAATTAAGGTTTTGTGGTAATTTTATGTACAAGTAATTCAAGTACATTTAATTGCAGAGGTGTCGTAGTCGAGTGGATACGTCACCGGACTGTCGATCACATGAGTCCTGCTGCGGCACTAATGTCCTTTGGCAAGATATTACGATATCTACGTTTGCAACACTCAACCCAGGTGATGTAAATGGGTACCTGGCAGGAATTAATTCCTTGAAATTAGTACCACTTGAAATGCTGGAGCGCTGTAATGGCAGCTAGGCTAAAGCCGGGGTAATAATAAATGCAGATATAGAATTTCTAGATAGATGGCGCTATAGAAATGCCCATTAATATTATTATTATTGTCAACTGTTTTATTGACCAAGACAAAAGCATTAGAGAGCATATCTCAAACATAACGCATGCATGTACAGTACATAACGAGGGGAAAAAATGCACACTCAAATTGTATGTACATGTATGCAAAATATTTTTAAAAACACATACAAATTAAAATAAAATGGAATTGATTGATTTGCTTCAGTTTTAGTATTCAGGTTAATTATGAAAACTATGCACAAAAGCTACAGAAACTACATTTGTTTCCTTTATTCGAGAAACAACAGAATGAATGCAACTGCGTCTCTAATATGCCTCCGTCTACATTCAGTTCATTCGTTCATTTGATTTAATAGCAGATACAGTCAAACCTGTCTATAGCGACCGCCCAAGGGAAACGGAAAAAGTGGTCTTGTAGACAGATTCCTTTAGTACATGTTTCAACGAGAAAACATTTGTAAGTTAAACAACAAATGTGGTCTTTGTAGACAGGTGGTCACTAAAGCAGGTTTGACTTTTTTTATCAAGCCAGACCAGACCAGGATTGTGGATTACGAGCTACAGAACTCAGTGCAAAAAATACACGGGTGCTCCGGGCAAATTAGCCCCCAAAATGCTAAAAAGAGCCCCCAAAAGTCATAAAAGAGTTCAATGCAAAACAAATTAAAGAGCGTTATTTCCATGCAAGCAAGCTTAAACAGTAGCCCCCAAAATGTTTAGAGTATTTTTTTCCCTGACAGAACTAATACAATATTGATTTCTAAAATGGTTATTCTCGCTATCTCCACTACGGTATTTGGTCATAGAGGGCAGCACTCACTATGGGTATATGTGGCAAAGGCACTTCCGGGTCCCATACAAATATAATGGGTAGAAAACGGGAAAGTCTGATAGAAGTTAGAGTTTCAGAACCAATAAAATATAAGCGACAGATTATGATGGTGCCTACTTAGATCATATGAAATCATCAGGGAAGATCCTGAAACCTGAACAATATTGAGGTAAAATCAGGAATTTGTTGACACTGCTGTACATTCTCTATGGAAGATAGAAGAAACTTTGTCTCATCACCCTCCCCGGTATTGTATCTGCGCATGTGCTGACCTCAGTGCCATGTGCTATGAGGGGTGGCCCTCTACTGGCTAACATCGTCCAGGCTGTAGGGTGAATCACAACATTAGTCAGCTGTGAGATGTGTTTTCATTTGGGAAGACTACTGATTGCAGAGAGTTGAGGGCAGATACAGCAGAATGAACATCTTCACATCTAGGGCACTTCCATGTAGGTCTTTGGGTAGAATCGGGAATGCCACAGCAATTGGAATGCCACCATTCCCCACACATACTACATTGTGCCATCTTCATCTTCGATTCATGTGTAATAGCATTCCATGGCATCCTACACAGGCAGAACACATCCACGCTGACCATCCTCTTGGCTGTACGTTCAACTGTTTGACTGGTCTTTGGGAAAGGTTTGAGACAATGCTTCTTGAAGCACTGATACAGATGACGTCTCATGGAGGTGATGTCATAACATACCAATCCTGGATCTTCAGAATGGAGGACACTTGCGGCAAAGGCTAATGCAAAGAGACCACAATCAGTTGTATTCTTGGAAAGCTGAACTGGTTGGATTTCCACTGAGATTTGGGTGTCCTGTGAACATACAATACATGCAATCTGCTTGCGTATGATGTCTGGAATCGTTCCTGCACCCATACTATCATAGTACTTCACCATCCCAGGATCACAGGAAATAGACGTCACAAAAACCCAGTGGTCCTTCCCATCATGCATCAGCTGTCCAAACTCCCCCTGGGCTGCTGAGAAGAGAAGGTGCTGACCTAGTGTCACTTCTTCAAAGCCATGCAGAAGAGGGAACATGTCAAGAATTAATGCCTGTGCTTCCCTGATAATCCGGCTACTCACAGTCTGGTTTGAACCTAGTTCATCACAGATAACCTCGGTGATCTCAGCTCTCTTTGCAGTGGAACAAACCCTGCAGCTTCTTTCCTTGCATGAACAACTCCTCTTGGTTGTATCAGGGAGTATCTTCACAGGTTCTTTGTTGCCTTCAGATCTATCTGAAGGTTCTCCCGTCTGTGGCTTTGGCGTCATAGTATCTGTACAGGAGGTGAATCTATCTAAAGGTTCTCCCGTCTGTGGCTTTGGCGTCATAGTATCTGTACAGGAGGTGCATCTATCTGAAGGTTCTCTCATCTGTGGCTTTGGCGTCATAGTATCTGTACAGGAGGTGCATCTATCCGAAGGTTCTCTCCTTTGTGGCCTTGGTGTCATAGTATCTGTACAGGACTGTCTGGATGGGATCCCAACCCTTTTCTGTTTCGCTCTCTGTACATTCCGGAGAGCACCCTCGAGTTGCTGATGCAGAGCATCTAAGATGGATGAATCTTGAATGCTAAAGGTCTCTTCGGTCAGCTGATCAAGTAGTCTCCTGCATTGAATAGCTTGGTTTGTATCACCGCTAGTCTGATTAGATTGAGGTGAATCTATCATCTGTCTCCTGCATTGAATAGCTTGGTTTATATCATTGCTAGTCTGATTAGATTGAGGTGAATCTATCATCTGTCTTCCGTATTGAATCCTTTGGTGTGTATCACCTCTGGTCTGACTTGATGGAAGTGAATCTATTTTCTGTCTTGATGTTTCTGGTGATTGCCTGAAACAGATGAATAAAAACAGGTAAGTTTTAGAAGTAGCCCCATGTACATTAACAATCTACAACGATAATAATAAACCAACCTGGGTCCAATAACTAACATAGAGCTTTATACCAATTGAATATACAACTGATTTTTGCGATTGACTGCACATGGTGATCGTAGCGATCAATCGCGAAAAAAATTATTATAAAATCAAGTCAACAAACAAGTTATCCCCAGGAAAGGAGGTTACTACTACTTTTTGTGTTCATCTGCTCTGCATTCATTTTGCTTTTCGGCTCTTGCACTTTTCATTTATTTTGACCACGTAATACCTGAGGAACGTTGTACAGTCAAACCTGCTTTAATGACTACCTGTCTACAACGACCACCTGTCTATATGAAGGCCACATTTTTTGTTTCCGATGAAAATGGTTTCTCATTGAATCATTTACTAATGGAACCTGTCTACAAAGACCACCTGTCTACAAAGGCCACTTTTTGTGTTTCCCTTGGGTGGTCGCTATAGACAGGTTTGACTGTACATACCTGGAAAGTGCTAGATGTGCTTGATGTCCTAGATCTTGCTCAGCAAACTCAATATTAATTGGTGTCTCCTGAGGCTCCTGATGCTGATCTTTGTCGCTATGTATCTCTGATCTACTTCCAGACCCATCGGTAGCTCCATGCAGATCACCCATGATTCTTAGGGCTATACGTTCCGAGTCTGGTCGGTGAAGTACACTGTCCTCTGCGACATCCTGAACATACAAACAGTATAGAAGTCATTCAAAAGTCCATGTACAACAGCTGACACATGCATGTGTCAATATCATTCATGCATTCCATCTATCTCTCAAAAGAAACCAAACCTTCAATACCGGTTCATCAAGCACAATATAAAACCACGTACATTTGTTTAATATAAAATTTGCAACCTTCATCTCCGATCTACTTTATTATTTTTTTCACTTTGGTACCAGAAATAATCGGCCCAAGTACATTTCGAGGGTTCAGTGACACAGAGACACAACTCCATACGTTGCCAAAATGAGCATTTAATATCAATATGCTCAGAAAATGTGGGCTTTCCAGGAAATACAAAGACTAAACTCCACCCAACACCCCATTGAAGTCAATGACTAGTGAAACATAGACTTAACTCCTTAAGGCCCAAGCGCTCAGTGACACGTAAACCACTTTTTCCTAAAATGGCCAAAAAGGAGTTGCGTCTTTGCGTCACTGACCCCTCGATTTGCAGTCCTATTTTCATGCTTGCAACTATTTTGAAAAGCATGTCATACAGAATCACTGGCCCATTTCACTGAGCCACAGGAACATTGCCATGAATACATGTACCTAATCATGACACCCTTCTGTAATTAGCAAAACAAAATACATAACAAGTATCTGAACAAGCCATTAGTAAACTGTACATGTTCACTTACAAAGTTGATTTGATGCCCATTATGGTCACTGGCCTCTGGAAATTTGATGTAGATACGTCTCTCCCCTTTCACCTCTGACCCCATAGAAAGGCTTTTCCTAAGCTTTTCTGACATGACTTTCCTCCTCCAAACTGTATTGATATCAACCTAAACACAAATTATCAAAATAGTACATTCAACTATTAAACATATTGTCTAATTATTTTGATAAATTAAATTTATGTTCCAGATATCACTTGCAATTTTTTTCTTCCTTTAATTTCTTTCCACTTTTTATTTAGATACTTTCTGAACAAAATCTACTCCTATAACAGCGCCATGTACCCCCATTAAAAATATATTAAGAGTTGAAAATAGTCAAAAAACATATATTCTGTACTGTTTTTTCACTATTTTAATAAATAAATAAATAATATGGTTATTTATATAGCGCCGGTATCCGTCAGGTTCTAACGCTCATGGCGCTTTACACATATTACCCTGGTCGTAGCCGAGCTGCCAAAGTAACTGGGGCTAGTTTGATACTTTTTTAGTTTGACTAGGGTGTGCATATATGTAAATATATTGAACTTTCTTCTAACCGCTGGGGCAGGTTTACAAGCTCACCAAGATGGAGATAGAGAAAGAGAGAATACAATCAGGTTATCTCAGCTTTTTTCATATTCAGAGGTGTCGTGGACGAGTGGATATGTCATCGGACTGTGGATCAAAAGGTTCGCGGTTCAAGTCCAACCGCGGCACTAATGTCCTCCCTTTGGCAGGACATTGATCTACATTTGCCATACTCCACCCAGGTGTTAAATGGGTACCCAGTAGGATGCGAAAGCTAATGTGCTTAGATTAGCAAGTGTGCACTTGTAAAAATGACGCCTGGCTGGAATGCTACCCAGGGAGTGGATAATGTTGCATACATTGTGTGCAGGTAAGCCTAAATCCAATGACCGGGGTAATAATATGATTGCAGGACCCTCAGGGAGAACAGTATGAATACTGATGAGGCTACCCTGGGTAAACAAGACATATTATTATTATTATTATTATTATTAAATATCGTACTTGTACTGTATGTACATGTAACTTTTTAGGCATATACTGTACAAAAGAGTCAAACCTGTGAGTGGCCAACACTCTATAAAGGTCACCCACATGTACATGACTTGTACCTATAGTGGCCATGGATTTTGTTTCCCTAGGGTTTCCTCAATAGACAAGTAAGACTCAGAAATTTCTAAATGAAGTAAGGTATTAATTTACCTCAATGACAATGTATAATATAGACTCTTCCTAAGCATAGCTTGCTGCTTTGAGGGTATATTGGACAACATAATGTTTTAGTTTTCCTTCTTTTCTTTTTTTGTACTCACTGCATAATTTGGAAATTTCAGGATATCTCTGAGAGCGATTTGAGCCGGACAGTCAACCTTCTTGCCTGTCACCTGTTTCCGCTTGCCGTGATGATCTTCACTCACAAACTACACAGCAGAAATGATAAACAATGTGCTCTTTTTGTTTAAAGGGACTTTGTCTCAGATTCTGAAACAAAATTCTGGATTTAGCTCATGCTGCAATCATAATTATAAACCTGAAGGTCAGAAAAAAATCCCATGGGTGGTATTCTCTTAAGTTAAGCCGGGACTAAGTCCAGACTAAACAAGAATTTTCGTTCGCACTTCTATGGAATGCTAGGTTTCATCTTCCTCCTTCAATATTCATGACAAAGATAATCTACCAAGGACTTTGTTGAAATTTAGTGTATACTCATATTATCTTTTTCTTCCTATTTCAGTGCAAAATTAATTTTTTTGGACACTTTTCATTGAAGGATTAAAATAATCTGTTCAGGGTAAATTAGTTCACAACAGGCACTCCATAAAAGTGTGAACTATCTATTAAAGCACGCCCTTACTTAGTACGCGCTACCGGAATACCACCCCATGACTTTTACAAGCCAATCACATGTTTGATTATCAAGATATTTATGATTGGAATTTCCAATTTCAAAAACCGTTTTCCTTACGTTTGTTTATAACACCACAGTCTATTGGGGAAAATGAGTATAACCAGTCACTCAAAGATTTTTACTTTTTTGAAGCACTTCATGATCATTTTGATTTGTGTAGGGCTTCAAAATAATCAAGACACTGATAACATGAGGGCCATGCATCTCAGATTTGTAAAACTGGAAACATTGTTAAACAATGTCTTCAATTATTTTTTTGGTTTTCTTTGTCTATTTATTTGGTACAACTTTTTAGTTTGTTTCTTCTAGGGTTCTACTATGATCAATATATATATATATATTTTTTTTTCTTTTTCTGGGGGATCCACAAACTACAAGCACTGCTTTTTAGTGGACCCCCCCCCCCCCCACCCCATTTCCTCAGAAATTAAGAATTTCTTGTAATAATATTATTATGTGCAAAGTTAATTTGTATAGTTTCCTGAAAAAATGAATTATGTATCAAAAAAATGTAATATCTTTGTTTACCTTTCTGTTGGAAATGAAAAAAATATGAATATGAAAATATGAAAATACATATTTGTGACTGACCTGTGAGAGAGAACGCTTCTTCCTAGCAATGTGACGATCCTTGCCGTACTGACAATCTAACATCTTGATACCAATCACTATGTACGGCACATAGTCAAATACAAGGTGACCTTGACGCAACCTTGAGCTATCTTCCCAGCATACTTTGTGATGATCAGTTTCAATATCTGAAAGAACAAGGCATATGTATGTTTCACAAAATATTTCTTTGTACAATGTAACTTCACAACAACTTTAATACATGAACACCTACAATTGTACTTGTAGATGAGAAGTCTCGAGTTGAATCATTTATCAAAATATACATCTATATATTATTCAAAAACAATTTAAAACAAGACAAATGCGTCTGGGTCTCCGATATGCCTCAGCCAAACTCAGTTAAATATCATGAGGGAAAAAAAAAGTTAAAAAGTACATGCCATATGATCTTTATGACCTTTGATCTTTGACCTGACAATCCCAAAATCTGGTCACTAATCTCCCTATTGTGATGCATACTAGTCACAGTTATTTATATGGTGATAAGGTTTAAAAAACCTTGAAATTCATCTCTTGATCAGATACGAAATCGTAAATCGCCACAAACAAACCACCAGTTTTGCCATACTGTATACAGTAATTTATCAAATCCCAAGGGCTCTAGTATAAAACTACACATCATTGTTCACACTGTATCAAGCAACGCCTATTAAATAATAAGATCTGACCGTTATGAGTCCATGACACAAGAGAGAATGACATTTCAAAATCTTACCTTGTTTTCCATAGTCTTTGCTTTGCCTGTACGTAGAAAACTTGATGCCCACCGTTTGTTGGTAATGTCTGCGAACTCTCTCCGCACTCTCTATATTACTCACATAGCCAAACGTAGGAGACAACTCTACATCAAATCCATCTGACACTGAAATGGTACAGAAATATCAAAGAAAAAAGTTGGTTCCCTTTCATGTTTGCAAATAATTAAGATGAAGCCCTCTTCAATTGATATTTGCAGGTCGAGTCAACCAGGGAAAAAATTAATATTTATTTTTCGGGGGCTTCTTTTCAAGCTTGTCTACATGAAAATAACATTCTCAAATTTGTTTTGCATTGAACTCTATGCAAATTCATGGGGGCTCTTTTCTGATTTTCAGGGGCTCTTTTGGGCATTTTGGGGGCTAATTTGCCCCGAGCCCCGTGTATTTTTTTCACTGGAGTCAACCTTCCGCTTGTCACCAATCAACCAAACTTGTTGTATTATACAGAGTTTTCTCCCCCTCCCCAAAATACAAAAAAATGAAGATAATAATATAATATTTGGGGGCAAATTGCCAAATTCTTGGGAAATGAGAACCAACCTTTTTTTTATCAATTTCTGTCCAGATTTAACATGAAATATGTTTTTAATGGTCCAGTATTCCACTTACATGTACAGTATTGCTTGAAATAAATTAGACACATTACCACCAAGTCACATCAACGTCTATGGGATAATGCATGCATTCACGCGTGACACAGTGTGAGACTGTCAACTTTATTCCAAGCAATACTGTACATACCTACATATACATGTATTATACTCTTTCTTTGTGTACTTGCCGGATCCAGTCCCGGAAAAACTTGCATACATGTAGAAGTGGGCTCTCATGTGCAATTTGGCACCATTTGGGTGTTTACCCAATAACAGGTGTTATATACCTCACTAAAGAAATCCAGCCATCTGATTGGTCGAAATTGGAGTCGTGATTTTAGCCATTTCCGTAAAGAAATGAAAAATGCCAAAACCCATTAATAGTCCAAGAGTGAGATCCTCAAAATTCTGGTTACTGGGAAAATATAATATTTTGCTGCGATATATGTTCTTTGAGCGAGCGCGGACACCATACAGTGCTTTTTGTCTGCGATTCCCAACTGATCGAAAATTTCAGTCATTTCTCTGGCGTTGACAGAGATGCCAACCCTATACATGTAGGATGGCTGTCAGTAACATTTACCATATTTGTCCGTAAGAAATGGGGGTCTTTCCGGAACGCAAGACATCGCAGTATAATTTTCGCGCAAAACGTACACAAACACCCAATCACTCTTACTGCATTTCGAACCTACCATTTTTAAGTCCAAAATAAAGATGTGCCTAAAAACGTTTTTAAAAATCTGTTTCCAGTCAAAGGATCTCCTCCTCAGGTACTCGTTCTTTTGAGTGAATCCATGATAATATTCAGGAAGAAAACACCTTGTTCAAGCGTCGAATGGCAAATTCGAATCCACAGTGAAATGGCGGAACTCGTAAACTACACACGCACACGTACACTCACCAGTACCACAGCACACCAGCCCAGGCCGCTAGGCCCGGCGATCATGAACAACAACACACCGTATACTGCACTTGCAATGCGCCCGCTGAATCACCGAAGTCTTCGCTACTATACTTTGAATGGGTATTGCGGGTGCTGAGCGCATGATCATGTACCACCATGCTCCCCCAAAACACACATAGCATACTAGTATCAAAACAGTAATAACGGCGGCCGTGTTGTTTCGGAATTAAACAAGATGGCGGCGGACGGACCATATGCGCGAAAGTGCCTATCCAGTATAGTCAAATTAAGTGAACTTATGAGTAAATGCGTGCGAATGCAGCGCTGTGTACGGAAGCTACAGTACATGTATGTGATAAGGCGGCATTCGCTATAATGTACTTTTATTTATCGTTTCCCCGTAACCTTTTGATTGTTTACAGTAACGCCGTAACAAGGGCACTAAAACCGTAACAAATACGGCAAAACCGTAACGGTTGGCATCTCTGCGGTGATAAACAGACAGTTTCTCAGATTTTCTGTGATGTTTAACCAATCTTTACTCGATAGAAGGATATCGGTAAGGTAAGAATTCTTGGTAGATTTTTGTTTGATTTTGGCATATAAAAGGGATATCGACTGCTTTAAAAGGATCGTTTAACAATGTCAAATCTGAGATGCACGGCCCTACGTGTTATTCGTAATCAGTGTGTGTGAAATGGTGATATATTGAAGCCCTAAAAAAATTGCGATTCAAAATGATCAAGAAGTGCCTCAAAAAATGTAAAAGCTTTGAGTGACCTGTTTTACCATACAGTAAATCTCTGTGTATAAGGCGCACTTTTTTTCCGTCGGCAAAAATAAAAAGTGTGCCTTAAAGTTATACACAGGAACAGGATATTTTGAGTCTCGGAGTCTTTGCGTCTCGCTCCAGGTGCTCGGCCGTGTCAAAGCGCGGTGCGACGTCCCGGTCATCGTCGACGTCGTCGATGGGTCCGCACGTCCTACTTATCCGTCACGATTTCATGCTTTAGCATGAAGTAAAAATGGCCGAGCGGTATAGGTGCCAGTTTCGTTCGATTCACCGGCAGCTTTTGCACCTTTTGCACGCACAGGTTCGATCCCGCCTCCGTCACAATTTTTTTTCTTTCCTGTGTTTGTATGATATATTTTAGATATTGTAATCTTTACCATTCTTTTAATTCTAATTAAAATGTAATATTTAAAATTTAATTTGAATGAGAATACATTTAGTCTTTATTTGATATTTATTAGCAAGTCTTTATTTGATATTTATTAGCTTATTTCATGATGAAATCAATTAGATCTACATCTAGGCCTATAAATAAAATCAGCGCAACAGATGTCTTCCCATCCACGTCCAAACTTAAAGACCCATTTCCATCATTATTGCCGGGATTTTTATATAGTTTTCGTGAATGGAGGTATGAAATCAAAGCTTATTTTGTGATTATTCTGGCACGCAACTGAGTTTTGATTATCATTTATTAAAGGAAATTTTTCACAAGAAAATCAGAGAAAAACATTGTTCAGTTTCAAGAGCTCTGCCGTACGCATACAGTGTGTAGAGCAGTGCACTCTACATGTAGCTGCGCTGGCTGCTTGACTGAGTGAGTGAGCTATGCAGAGTCGAAGAGACTATGAAGGGCCAAACATGCCGATATTCGTACAACTATATGCTTTATTATGTCTATCCATCCATGCGGCTATTTATGTCTATCCATTCATTGAAGTAGGCCTACATGTGAACACAACAGCGTGCATGCCGAAGTGCCATAAGATCGTTGGGGGGGGGGGGGGGGGGGGGGGGGGGGGTGGGGGGGAAAGAAAAAAATCTGCATCTTACATGTTACATGCATGTGAAACATTTTTCAAAGTGTGGGGGGGGGGGTCAGGTAGATCAAAGCAAGTTGAGTGTAGGCGTGGGGTCCACGGGTTGTGGGGGGGGATCAGGTGTTTTGAAGCGAGTTGAGTGTAGGCGTGGGGTCCACGGGTTGTGGGGGACGGGGGGGGGGGGGGGGATCAGTGGATCAAAGCGAGTTGAGTGTAGGCTTCGGGTCCACGGGGGTAGAGTTGCGTACCAACTACGCCGAGCGTACGCAAGATGGACGCAAACAATTACATGTAAACATGTTCAAATTTTTTGTAGCAGCGCCCCATGGATATGTGGCTGAGATAAACGCAAAATGGCTGCCACAGCAAAGAGCGCCTGTTTAACGGGCGCAAACAGCTAGTTGTACTAAATATTGTCAGAAGGTACATGGACAATAATCTACCATGTCTACTGTGATTAAATCATTGTTTTTCAGAAAAATACTCCAAAAATAGCAAGAAAATTGACACGAAACAGGTAAAAAACATAACAACTTTTAACTCATGATCTTTATTTGGACATTTAATGAATATTTACTTCATTTTGGGTATGTTTTAGTAGACCTCTATCTAGGTATCTCCACGCCGGAGTTACAGGTCATATTTTGGATACCGTACTGAACAAGCGCCCTGGATTGATATCTGCAAATTATGACACGATCACATGCAGTGGATTTTGAATGAATGAAGGAAGGTGGGCATTATTTATATACGTCTTAAATTAGAGTCTGTGAAGACAGGTAATTAGATCTAGGCCTAGATCTAAAGTAGGGACTTTTCGATTTGCACGTTCACTAGTGGACTGCGACGTATGCGGTCACTTTTGAAGCAGTGCGCATGCGCATCGACGAGCTCATCGTTCGTATCAGAATTCTCGAACGCGTTTGCCCTTGTTTTGCCGTCGTTCGCAAACTGTGACGATACATGTTCGTAAGCAATCTTTTGTAGGCACGAAACATCACATTGAAGTAACAAAATGGACCCAATTGACCTGATTCTAGAACCGGAGAGTGGTGGAAGCATGAATTCTCTTAAATTAACACATTTTCGTGTCTGTAATTTCCCTTAAATCAAAATTGTTGCAGAATAATTCATAAAATGAACACATTTTATTTGTGTATCGCCAATTTGTTGCAGCATAATTTTCGAGATCAGTCCCATGCACCGAATTCGGTGCGTTGAATCTTTAGCTTTTCGAACGAAATTCGCGCTCACTATCTGGATCTGGATCTGGATGTGTACGATGCAGGGCCCTACTGGGCATAAGCCCTTCGGTTGAGAGAGAGGGCGCGGGGGTATTTAGAAGGCTCTGTCAATGGCCTTCCTGAATGTGCTGGTTGATGTGGAGTTTATGGTGTTTAAGCAGAATAATTCATAAAATGAACACATTTTATTTATGCAACTCTAATCTGTTGCAGCATAATTTTTGAGAACAGTGCCATGCACCGAATTTGGTGTTATATCTTAAGCTATTCGATAGAGTTTCGCGCTCACTAATGACTAGACTAAGCATGCTAAGCGAGAGTCGTAGTTGTGTAAAATCGTAAAGCCTAAAGTAGGGAGGCCAATGCCCGGGCGTAAGGCTTCTACACTTACGATTTGTGCGCTCGTCGCCCACTTCAAAAAATTAGCAAAGGGAAAAAAATGATGTAAAAATAAAAATTGAAGAAAATAAGAAAAGAAAATACAATTATACATTTCACAACATACCTATAATCACGGATCTGTAACAGTCTTTCACCATTTGTTGACAATCTTGCAGATTTTGACGTTTTTTAATTCAATAATTGTGGTTGCAGACGACCTTGACGCACTCGCACCACCGACTAAGAAAATCCTAGAGGGCGTAGAGGTTTGCTCACTAAAAACCTTCTCATTGGCAGAAGGTAGACCCTAAAAATATGGGATCCGTTTTGAGTAAAGAACTTTTGATAGAGATCAACATTTCAGATGTTCACAATTGCCACTTCTAACAACTAGAAAATATGAAGAAAAAGATTATATCTTTTTAAATACAGATTTTTACAAACTGAACATTCGAAAGTAGATAGAGTACGATGTTTCTGTCAATCGTGCGTTGGTTTGAGCCCTATAGCTACATCCATCTCAAAATGAGAAGGAAAACAGTGAACAGTGACGTCATTGTTCGCGCCAAAAATAAAGGGTATTGCGACATAATCTGAGCTCCGGTCAGATCGTGCGCAAAGCGTAGTCTTATTTATAGACCCTAGTACCTTATTCTCACAGCACTAGATACAAGTGTCGTGCAGTAATGTATGAGAAGTGTTAAAAAAGATATTTCAGTAAAAAAAAAAAGTCTACGTGAGCAGTCTATACTCCAATTGAGAATTGAAATGAAAGCCATGATTTGAAGGTGTGTGTTGTATGATAGTATGTTACGTATAGCGAAAGGGAGAGAGAGAGAGAGAGAGTGTGAGAGAAATATTAGTACACGTACGTTGCATGCATGGATGTGCGCGATTGTGTTCGCTGCAAGATGGATGTTAATTGGACCTCGTAACTTCTCGATCGTTGATAATAAGGAATACTCATGAGGAAATCAAATTATTGGAATGCACATCTAAGGTAAATATCAATGAATTATATATATTTCTATTCTTCATTTTTGAACCATCGTCTTCGGCTCGTAGTAGTAGAAGATGTAATAATAATAATAATAATAATAATCCGGTTTTTTATATAGCGCTCAATACACCGATCCAACGATGTACCTAAGCGCTTTACAGATATATTATTACCCCAGTCATCGGATTCAGGCTTACCCGCACACAATGTGTGCACATTTTCCACTCCCTGGGGAGCATTCCAGCCAGTCGCCATTTTACAGGCGCACACTTGCTCGTTCGCACATTGATGGCTGGACTTCAGCCTGCATCGGGGCTTGCCTGTGTCGGTGGTGGGATCAACTAAGAAGAAGAAGGTGTGTACGTGTGCGACCGATTCAAGGCTAGCCGCTGTTGAGTGATTGCACTTTCGCGCGAAGTTTTAAACTTCATCATGAACTTTGTCCCTCGGGCCTGTCTAATTATGAACGTAACTTTGCGACATGAAATATAATTGTTTCAAGGCTCTTACGTACGGAAAGGCGTAGAAGGAACCTCATAGGAACTAGAGTAGCGGCTCCGGTGTGCGGCCGTCCAGTGCGAATTGCCGATTTTATTTTTTATGCAGTTACTCACAGAATGCTTCAATACCGTCAATGGAGAGTTCATATATTTAGTTATTGAATAGAAGGCACAAATAACGTAACTGACCCACAGCGTGGTCAGTACTGTCCACTTTAGAAGACGTAAAAGTTGCCCGGTGGGCGGCCGTGCGTAACCCGGTTTGCGGCACGCGTACGTCACAAAGCTTTATGCGCTACGTCACGATCAAAGCATATACCAAATTACTACGGGTAACCCAAATTCTCATGTTTATCTGTTGCTACGGTAAATTTTTCAAGTTTTAAACAATTTCACCTTTTTACTGAATGGATCATCCCATACGGGGGTACGTACTACTAGAAACTATTGGGTCACAGCGGGTACACACATCAGCACACATACCATCATACACGATCCCGCATGTTATGTGTGTATTAACACCCCCCGCCGCAAACCAGAAAATCACGTAATTTCGTGCCGGTTTGCGGCCACCCCATGCAACTGGCCATGCGGTGGCACAATCAAAATATCTGCGATAGGAGACAGACCACAGCCATCATACTTCCACAAAAACATCAAATTTCACCTCCAATCGGACAAATATCGGACAAATAGAGCTACAATATTGATCTAGTCATGCCTCGATCTCTTAACTTACAAGTAAGCACCTGCTGGAATTTTCATCGCCGACTGGTGCCGTAGATTTCCGACATCGCTGACGGATACTCCGTACCGACAGGAGCATCTGCTACGGACGTTTTCGGCAGCGCAGAACTTACCGGGGAATCCATGGTAGACTCCTAGGTTTCAATGATTATTATCGAGTCATTTTTATTTTATTTTGAAAAGTGATACCCCTGGCCGCAAACCGGGCTATGCCGCAAACCGGAGACTCTACTCTAGCTGGATATCTCCTATTTGATGGAACTTCTGGAGTCGGCAGATGGGTGGATTTTCTTAGTGAAAGTAAATGCTTTCTTTTAATCTTAGTTTTAGTATAAACAAATTAGTAATTAAAAGTTAGATTTGGGCATTGGCCTCCCTACCTAAAGCCTTAAGGTAACGAACAACAGTCAGCGTGCCTCGTTAACCCTGCTTAAAAATGACCGCATACGTCGCAGTCCACTTATGAACGTGCAAATCTAGTATAAAGTACTCGTTCGTTAGTGCGTTTGCACGCACTTGTAATGAACACACGTGTAGATCTACTGCATATATAGAAACGCTCTTGAAGAGCGTCACAAAGCGAACCATCGCGCCGCCGTACACATGGTACAGCTGTACAATACTAGTCTAGACCTGTACACTATATCGGTGTAGACCTCTATCAATCAGTGCAGTGTATCATGTGCAGCTAGTACTTGGTGCTATTTTATTTCACGATGATCAATGCTCATTAATCTACGGTACCTCTGTTGTGTTGTATAGCTTCCAGATAAGTTTCCATGGCTCCTGGTTCATTATGATCGGGAGAAGTCATCTCTAACGTTAATGTTAAACTTAAAGCGCCTGTTTTCTCGTACCTGTTTTCTCGAGAACCTACACATATTGTGACCTCAAGCCAAGTCGTTTAAAATTAAATATTAAACGATGATCATGATCGATGTAAATGTACAATGTTATTTATTTGTGAACGTTTAATTTGAAAGGTTTATGATATTATGAAACTTTTGGACATTTTTTTGTAGGATTTTTCAGTAAATATAAGATGAAATTGTCAGATTTTAATGTTTAGACATGCAGGGAAAAGTAGAAGACAAGCTTTCGAACATTTCATTTTTGTCATGTGTTTTTCCATCAAATTTGTTAGTTATCACGCGCATGCGCCCATTTTTTTTATTTTACAGAAAAAAGACTCAAATGTCAAATTTTTATTGCAAATTTTGCAATTGTGCCGAATTTTAAGATAAAAAGAAAACAAAGGAATGTCAGATTCAGATTGCAGGGTTGACCTAAATTATTTTACAAAGAAGACTGCATATAATGTGTCAAAATTATGTGATTATAGGGCCTATACGAAAATCCAATTGAATCCCCATTGAATCCCAATGCAATTGGCAATTTAATGGAGTATATGGAAAGTGAAACAATATGGGTATACCCATTGACAGGCGCGGATCCATGGATCCGGAAATTTGAAAATTGAGCAGCAAGGTCATATATTAGAAGCACCATAGCAGCTAGTACAATTGTTGACATTCCATCGGGGGGGGGGGCTATAGCCTCTTGCCCGTAAAAGTAATTTTCTGGTTTCACAACTCGGCTAGTGAGCGAAGCGAGCGAGCAACAATTTGAGCATATATTGTGAAAGTGTTATTTATTACCAAAATAAACGAGAAAAGATATCAAAAACTCATATTCGGGCAGCTCGCTGCCACCCCCCCCCCCCCCCCCCCCCCCCCCTTACGCGCGAAGCGCGGAAGCTAATTTGACCTTTCTTTTATAATTAGAGAGAGAAGACGATTTTTTTTGTACCATTCTCGACTCGTATTCCTTGTCTGAATTCAGTTTTCCCCCTCCCGCGCGAAGCACGGAAGCTTTGACGTTTCATTAAATTATTAGAGAAAGGATTTGTTGTATCATTCTCGACTCGTATTCCTTTTTTGCATTCAGTATTTCCCCCTCCCGCGCAAAGCGCTGAAGCTTTGACCTTTTATAGTTTAAATTGAAATTATTAGAGAAAGATGATTCGTTGTACCGTTCTAGACTCTTAATCCTTGTCTGAATTCAGTTTCCCTCTCCCGCGCGAAGCGCGGAAGCTTTGACGTTTCATTAAATTATTAGAGAAAGAAGACGATTCGTTGTAACATTCTCGACTCTTAATCCTTGTTTAAATGCAGTATTCTCTCCCCCCCCCCCCTCCCGCGCGAAGCGTGGAAGCTAATTTAACCTTTCATTAATTATTAGAGAAAGAAGACTATTCGTTGTACCGTTCTAGACTCTTAATCCTTGTTTGAATTCAGTTTTTGCCCTCCCGTGCGAAACGCGGAAGCTTTGACGTTTCATTAAATTTTTAAAAGAAAGAAAACGATTCGTTGTAACATTCTCGACTCTTAATCCTTGTTTAAATGCAGTTCCCTCCCCCCCCCCCCCTCTCCCGCGCGAAGCGTCCGTGAAAGCTTTAACATTTTATTAAATTATTATAGAGAAAGAAGACTATTCATTGTACCGTTCTAGACTCTTAATCCTTGTCTGAATTCAGTTTCCCTCTCCCGCGCGAAGCGCCGAAGCTTTGACGTTTCATTAAATTATTAGAGAAAGAAGACGATTTGTTGTACCATTCTCAACTCGTATTCCTTGTCTGAATTCAGTTTTCCCCCTCCCGCGCAAAGCGCGGAAGCTTTGACGTTTCATTAAATTATTAGAGTAAGAAGACTATTCGTTGTACCGTTCTAGACTCTTAAGCCTTGTTTGAATTCAGTTTTTGCCCTCCCGCGCGAAACGCTAAAGCTTTGACGTTTCATTAAATTATTAAAGAAAGAAAACGATTCGTTGTAACATTCTCGACTCTTAATCCTTGTTTAAATGCAGTTCCCTCCCCCCCCCCCCCCCTCTCCCGCGCGAAGCGTGAAAGCTTTGACCTTTCATTAATTATTAGATAAAGAAGATGATTCGTTGTTTCATTCTCGACTCTTAATCCTTGTCTGAATTGAGCCCCCCCCCCTCCCGCGCAAAGCGCGGAAGCTTTGACGTTTCATTAAATTTTAAAGGTGAAATTCAAAGAAAATCACAAATATGTCAACTAATGTATGATTAGAAACTGGTAAGCTTACAGATGGCCATCGTACATGTTTGAGGTCAGCTATATATCGGGTGATTTATAAAAATAAAAATACAACCAACTCCATAGCAGCTGGGATATACGAGAGATTCGCCAGAAAAATAACGATGTTTTAATGACGTCACAACAGGGACCAATACTGCCCAAGCAGACGACATCCCATAAAGAATGAACATAATTGCAAAGCTATTATTTGTCAAATTATAATGAGTTTAGTGTATATAAATGTAATGCAGTGGCGGATCCAGGGGGGGGGCCGAAACGGCCGCGGCCCCCCCCCCCCCTATTGGCGGCGCAAAAAAAGGAAGAAAAAAGAAGGAAGAAAAGAAGAGAGAAAAGAAAGGAGAAGAGGAGAAGAAAAAAAGGAGAAGAAAAAAAGGAGAAGAGAAAAGAAAGGAGAAGGGAAAAGAAAAGGGAAGAGAAAAGAGAAAAGAAAAGAAAAAGAAGAAAGCCCAAGTCCCTTCCCCCCCCCCCCCCCCCTCCCTCCCACTCCGGGGTCGGAGGGACCGAATTTGTGTTCCCAGAATTTCCGATAAAGAGTTACTTTTCACGCAACAGAGTCCGGCCCGTAATACACAAAAATCCGGCCTGTACTGACTTACACCGGATATAGAGGGGTGCTTTCAAAGAGAGGGTACATACATGCGCGTACTCTATACTGATTGGGGGGGGGGGGGGGGGGGGAGAGAAAAGTCAGTGAGAAAGGGGAATTAGACAAGGGAATGGCGCTAAGTGACAGTAACGACGAATAAGGGAAAACTGTAATATGGAGGTTTGGGGTCATTCCAGAAGGCTTGGCAAACGTTATTGAATAGAGGGGGCCCGGCCGGCCGCATAAAATCTCGAGCCGAGGATTCAAAGTTAAACGTAAATAACAGCCCCTGCGCTACAAAGGTCATCACTCTTTAGTGACAAATTTGAAAAGGGCACAATTATTTTGGATGTCTAGAAGCTATATACTCAACAGTCAAATTTTAAATTAACGGTAGGGCCGCTTCATAACTCTTATTTTGCCCTTCATTTGGATTCAGCTCATACCAACTCGCCTGTGCTTGTATTTGAACTCATGTTGGTAGTAATCATGGACAGGGGCGGCAATCCTGGGCCCGATAGGGAGACACGTCCCCCAGGAAATTTAGAAATATAGCTAGAAAGAAATATAACGGAATTTTCTAGAATGCATAATTTCAACATTGCAAAATCTCGCTTGGTCGCTACGCCCCGGCCGTCGCCCGATAACACAAAACTATGCATAATAAAATATTATGACGCTCCCGGCCGTGATTTATCAATGGTTGGTGTAATATATCTTTTTTTCCCATTCATTTCTACTAACCTAATCAGTAGCGGATCCAAGGGGGGCGCGGGGGGCCTGGGTCCCCCCCCCCCCTTTGAGAAAAAAAAATCATGTAAAATCACCTTTTTTGGGGGGTTGGGCCCCCCCCTGGCGCCCAAGGGGGGGTGCAAATTGAAAAATTTTCGAGGACCAAAAAAAAAAGTGCTCCCTACTGTGCGGGATGGGGGGGGGGGGGAGGAACTCAATTCAGAAAGGGATTAATTTAGAGTCGAAAATGGAACAACGAATTATCTTTCTCTAATAATTTCATTAAACTATGAAAGGCCAAAGTTTCTGTGCTTCGCGCGGGAGGGGGGGGGCTGAATTCAGTCAAGTTTAAGAGTCGAGAATGGTACAACAAATCTTCTTCTTTCTCTAATAATTAATGAAACGTCAAAGCTTCCGCGCTTCGCGCGGGAGGGGGAAAACTGAATTCAAACAAGGATTAAGAGACGAGAATGGTACAACGATTCGTCTTCTTCCTCTAATAATGTAACGAACTGTCAAAGCTTACGCGCTACGCGCGGGCGGAGAAAAACTGAATTCAGACAAGAATTAAGAGTCGAGAATAGTACAAAGAATCATGTCCTTTCCCTTATAATTAAATGAAACGTCAAAGCTTCCGCGCTTCGCGCGGGAGGGGGGGGGGGGCGAGGAACTCAATTCAGAGAAGGATTAATTAAGAGTCGAAAATGGAACGAATCATCTTTCTCTAATAATTTCATTAAACTATGAAAGGCCAAAGTTTCCGTGCTTCGCGCGGGAGGTGGGGGGGCTGAATGCAAACAAGGATTAAGAGTCGAGAATGGTACAACAAATCGTCTTCTTTCTCTAACAATTAAAGAAAGATCAAAGCTTCCGCGCTTCGCGCGGGCGGGAGGAAACTGAATTCAAACAAGGATTAAGAGTCGAGAATGGTACAACAAATCGTCTTCTTTCTCTAACAATTAAAGAAAGATCAAAGCTTCCGCGCTTCGCGCGTAATTGGGGGGGGGGGAGGGACGGTGAGCTGCCCGAATATGAATTTTTGAGTTTCTCGTTTATTTTGGTGATAAATAACACTTTCAAAAAATACATATTATGCTCAAATTGTTGCTCGCTCCCTTCGCTCACTATTTCGAAGTGTGAAACCAGAAAATTACTTTTCGGGCAAGAGGCTATAGCCCCCCCCCCCCCCCGATGAAAATGTCAAATATTGTTTCTTGGTTAGTAATCATCTATTGCTAAAACATGAATGTAATTGTAAAATGATCAGACAAATTAAATAATCTATTGGTTAATAATTGCCAAAGGAAAATAGAAATCACAAAAATGATGTGCATGTTTGTCTTAATTTGCTTAACAAATCATGATGTCACACGTGTAAAGTAATAATGAATAAGAATGAGATGCATAGATCTGTTGGTTTCTATTAATTGCTTTCTATTGGTCCAATTGGTTTCTATTTAACATTGGTCCCATTGGTTTCAATTGGTTTCAATTGGCCCTATTAGACTTTAATAGGATTTCAATCGGTTTCAAGTGGACCAATTGAAAT